TTTCGTTACCTAATTTTTTTGCTATCCTCATGATCTTACTCTTTCCTATACTCTTATTTTTTTTATTTTACATACCCTATCAAACTCATCCACTAACCTCTGCAACTTTTTTTCAAAATTTCCCAAAAGCACAGTGTCATCAGCAAAGAGCAGCTGTGACAACTCCCACTTTGTGTTAGATTCTTTATCTTTTAACCCCACACCTCTTACCAACACCCGACCATTCACTTCTCTTACAACTCCATGTATAAATATATTGAACAACCATGGTGACATCACACATCCTTGTCTAAGCCTACTTTTACTTGGAAATAATCTGCCTCTCTCCTACATACTCTAACCTGAGCCTCGTAAAAACTCTTCACTGCTTTCATTAACCTACTCCTATTCCATACATTTGCAACATGTGCCACATTGCGTCCCCCACCCCCCGTATCTACCCTATCATACGCCTTTTCCAAATCCATAAATGCCATAAAAACCTCTTTACCCTTATCTAAACACTGTTCCTATATGTTTCACTGTACACAGTTGGTTTACACACCCCCTACCCTTCCTAAAGCCTCTTTTTAAATCTCCTATCCTTAAATAGACATCACATTTTCTCTCTATCATTATGCAAAGTGTCACGAGAGCTAATTAGTTACTTCACTTAAAAATTACTTTTTGTAAGTCTACGGTTACCGCCAACCATATTTCATTTACCAATATCGACTGATCTCACTTCATAAAGGAAAGGAACTGTTTGCTGTATTTGGAAAGTATGTATGTATGCTATAGTGCATTGGGAAGTGACGTGACGAGGGAGTAACCATTTGAAAAAGTACATAAACTGAAGTTAACACTGAAGCTTAGGATTGGACATGTGGGAGAGAAGGAAAATATTTTTGAGTAAAAGTGGGCCTTAGATAGGAATGTTTAAGTCACCATGGTTGTGTAGTATATTTATAGAGGGCGAGTGTTAGGAAGAGGCGTAGTCTTGAAGAGTGTTAGGAAGAGGCGTAGTCTTGAAGAGTGTTAGGAAGAGGCGTAGTCTTGAAGAGTGTTAGGAAGAGGCGTAGTCTTGAAGAGTGTTAGGAAGAGGCGTAGTCTTGAAGAGTGTTAGGAAGAGACGTAGTCTTAAAGAGTGTTAGGAAGAAACGTAGTCTTGAGGAGTGTTTGGAAAAGGTGTAGTCTTGAAAAGTGTTAGGAAGAGACGTAGTCTTGAAGAGTGTTAGGAAGAGACGTAGTCTTGAAGAGTGTTAGGAAGAGACGTAGTCTTGAAGAGTGTTAGGAAGAGACGTAGTCTTGAAGAGTGTTAGGAAGAGGCGTAGTCTTGAAGAACAAGGAATATGAAGTAACACTAAGTGAGCACAGTTACTCTTGGCAGACATTAACATTCTTTTGGAAAGATTCTGAAGAGAATTCCTAAATGATTGCGTTGGAACTTAAAAGGTTGCATACGAATATAAAATGAAAATGGACACATAGTGTTGATTATTATAAGAATTAGATATTAGATGTTACAACTGATGGATCATATCTGTGAAACATCTGTGACCGATTTCGGGTTTTTTTTATGGTCTAGCAGCCCAGCCTCTAGCTGGAATACATTTTCTGACTGCCTGATCAGCCAAGCTCTTCCTGCATACTTGATCGTCACCTCCTGATTGTTCTGGTACTTAGGGTTCCAGGTCTCTCTTGTTTTTGGTTTTTCACTAAATTTCAACAATATTTTTGATATCTCCTTGAGAAGGTTAATGATTTTTTAACAATGTTGTTGATAGTGTTCTCTAATTATTTCTCCGGCACCCCCGGTTCTTCCTGAGTTTATTCTACACTTCCTTTCATAGTTCTCACTGCAATATGTTATGGTGTGAGCAGGTTGAGAAAATGATCCTCTAGTATCGTTCATATATATGTTAAAAAACTTTTCTCCACGCCACAGAGTACATTTCGTCTTCTTTGGGGCGTTCTTATCAGTTAACTATGTTAAAGCAGTGAAAGACCTGGAGCGAGATACTATTTGCGAATAAACGTTTGATTAATGAAAGCTTTGTGAGGAGCTTCTTCAAGTTTAAACAGCTTGTCGCTCAGAAAAATGTTGCCCTTAAATGAATGTTTGCTCCAGAGATACTGTCTTGTTACGATAATAGTTTGCCATCCTACCATTCCATAAGTACATGCCTACATTTTTTTAACTCTGGTCTCTCTCTACTACTTTGCGAGAGACTGTGAACAAGGAACAATATTTGGGATGTTGGAATACAAGTGATAACAATAGTACGATCACTGGCTTGATTCGTTTTAAAAGTACTCATGATTCATCAACTTCTTTTCCAAGCCTTCACTATATTGACCGTTGAGTGTTCTATTGACACTATATCACCTCACATCATTGTTTCGATGTATTTCAACTCTTCGAGATGGTTCACATTTGTTTTAACGTCACCTTCCCTGATCAAAGCAGGAATAAAAAAATTACCGTTGAACAAAGTCATTTTATTTCGCCCCCTAAAACACTCTGTTGACGTTTCATTTTTTGTACTGAATTACAGAATAGATAAGAATAAATATTAGCAAGGGTTCTGAGCAATGTTAAAAAAAGAATCTGTGAATGAGAGTAAAAAAATGGAACGGTGTGTATAGTAGTGGCAATAATTTTGTATATAAGTGTGGTACAACCATTGAATGTTACAGCAAAGAGAAAGCTAAAAGCAGAGATATGTCGGACCTCAATGCAGTGTAAATATAATAGTATAGTTTAACGATAGGTTAGGTGATGATGTTTCAGTTCAAGGGATCATTTTAAATGCATTGCTAAATCAAATGATCCCTTGATCATTTGAGTGAATTATGGTAAATATTTTTAGTTCCTTTGACCAACGTACCTTCGTAGGAAAGTGCCGATGCGATAAAAATGAAATAAAATAAAGACACGGAGCCTGGTATTGTGAGATAGTTTGATCGTTTAAAATGGGATAAAGATAGATCAAGAAGGGATGGAAGGTAGTGTAAGGAAAGTCACAGGATGGTTGGAAGGTAGTGTATAGAGTCGCTGCATGTTTTGCAAGACGTCTGTGTAGGTTTTGACCTCCTAGCAGGCATGCGCGAGAATATTAGATTGAATTTGATTAGTCATATTTGAGCTCTGAATGGTCCAGTCAGTTTTTTTTTACAAACAACGATGGTGTGTGAGGTGGTGAGTATGGAAAGTAACACTGCCTAATTTTCCTTTTTTCCCCTCACCTCATTTGAATATGAACCAATTTTAAGTTGAAGGGTGACCTAGGTCTGCCCTCCCATATACCCACTTTTCCCAAAAGTCTCTCTACCTTTCATAATAATGAGGAAAAGTGTTCCAGGAGCAGTTAATGCTTTAATACCATTTTTTGACTTCAGTATACACCTGGACAACACCTGGTTCATAAGTTTAGTGGACAAATACTGCTAGTACCGTACAAGATTCACCATCTCAAATAGTTAAGTAATAGTACTAGTGGAGTGAAATGGTAAAAAAAATCACCACAGTCATTCAGACATGATTCCACTGAAAGAAGATACATAATTATCGTTACCAGCTCCATTACCAAATACGTCTCCACTATTCCCTTTAACATCGAATACCGAGTAACAGCCTCTGCATGCACCAAAATGAAGGACATCATCAGTAAGGGACACCACCCACAGGATGAACCCACCACAGCTTTATACGCAATCTGTTACAACCAAATATATGGGCGAAACATCCAGACACCTTCATACACGTTTTTCTGAACACGTATTCGCCAACAGAACAGATGCCTTGAACGTCTGTGTTTTCCTCGGTAACTCCGAAAGCCATTTAATTAATTACAAAGACTCAAGACTCATCGACAGGAAGGAAGACACTCAGAGACGCATACTCCTGGAATCATCACTCATCTGCATATCCAAGAATTTCATCCAGAGCTACGGATTCTGCACCATAGCTTAGCCTTTTGCCAGAAAACGTCGTCGTCGTTGTCCCACATAACAACACTGTAGCAGACCTACTGGCCTACGTTAGGCACGATCTTCGCATATGCAACCACTCCGCAGTCATATATTTGCCTAACCTGTCATCAATATACCAAAGAAGTAAGCTTTGATAATATACATCATCTGACTCTTTATATCACCACACTATACGAGCTTTCGTCTTTCCCCAGGCAGATGTCTTCATGATACTGCATTAATGCTGCATGAACCGTACTTGATACGTCATCTCCATTAGTAGTACCGTACTTGATGCACTCTCTCAGAGATTAACAAATGTCAATGAGTTATTCCAGAATTTATAACTTCTGTTAGCAGCCACCTATTTTCGTTTCACTGTTGAACCAGGAGATGCGAATCCACTGATGACGGAAAGATTGAGTGATCAGTCAACGGGACGCAATTGACAAACAGAGGATTGAACTTCTAACCCTAGTGAATGATCCACACAAGTTTATCCCTATCTCTCTCTCTCTCTCTCTCTCTCTCTCTCTCTCTCTCATATATATATATATATATATATATATATATATATATATATATATATATATATATATATATATATATATATATATATATATATATATATTGTGTGTGTGTGTGTCTGTGTAAATAATACACATAGTGTATGTGAGCGGAATGTATTCATGATACTCTACGGTCGTCGCCAACCACATTTCATTTACTGATGTTTAACCCGATAGTAGAGCGAATTAATGGTGGGTAACTTAACTGGAGGGTGTGACCTAAGTAATAAAGTGAGATGGAGTAGCATCACCTCAGCAAGCAAAATAAGTGGGGAGCTTATAGTCTCAGCGAGTGGCATAATTCTTTATTTCAATGGTCGTAAAATCACAGATAAATGTAGCGTATAATTTCGTTTCCGACCTCAGGACCCTTCACTTGAATTTTATGGGTTTCAATTCCCAGTTATTACCCTCAAGTGAACCCATACATTAAAGGTTTTAATCCGTAGTTTCTTATATATGTATATATCGGCTTACCTTAGCATGTGTTGTAATGATGAATAGTGCATTGGAGCAGCAGAAGGAATAGTGTCCACTGGAGGTAGTGGGTGAAGTTGTTCTCAGCTGGGTGGCTGAGAGCAGACTGAGAGAGAACACGAACACATCTCCCTCCCCCACCAGCGCTCACTACACACTAACTAGCGCACCTCCACGCATCGCCACCAACCTCTGCATTGGCGCTGCTATCACTGCCACCTGTACCACAGCCACCACAACGCAGGGTATATACACCGTAAGGTGTATGCCTCTCAGGGCATGTACAAAGTCTAGTACCTGTTTCATGGGTTGAAGTGTTCTTGATTGGTGGTGAACAGGTTAGGTGCAGCCTTAATGACTCATCTAATCGATAGATTTTAATCCCAATTAACCAACCGATCACACCAACCTGCTGTCATTACCACCCCTCGCGCAACACTACCACCACTACTTTCACACCTACCCCACCACCACTACCTAAAATAATAATTTTTACTATCATCACAATATCCCCACTATACCAACTACTCCTACCACCACAACAACAACAAATAAATTGGCTAGCATAATTACTACCATGATATCTACCACTAACATCACCACCGAATCACCACCCCCACCTCTACCACAACTACTAGTACAACCATCATCACAAAAGCATAAGCAATGACTGGTTATTACCTTTCGTTCAGTATGTGTATGTCTGTGTGTATCTATGTGTGTGTGTGCGCGCCTGACTGATTGGCTGGTCAACAACAACACTCACTGCACCAATCATTTAAAAATTAGCTATAAATAACCCACTGTCATCATTTTAAACTATGTTGTATATCCTGCTGTCATAATTCGAAAATACGTAATCCATTATGTTGTATACGAGAAATGTTAATATGTTTTCCCCTCTGTTTTCTTATATGCTGTCCACTTAGGCTGATAGATCTCTGGTGTGTATACCTGAACATATCTTGTGATTCATTCCTTTGGAATGTCGCCATTCATTTGAACCAGATTTAATTTGAAATTATCCCAAATCTATCTTATAATGGTCCCTAGGTCTAAAAATTATCCTAGGTCTGTCTTAAAATTATCCCAGGAATATTTTCATGGTATCTTGTAGTATCCTTATGGTACCCTTGTAGTGTCCTTGTAGTACCTACGTAGTGTCCTTTTAGTATCCTTGTAGTGTCCTTGTAGTACCCTTGTAGTACCCTTGCAGTGTCCTTGTAGTACCTATGTAGGGTCCTTGTGGCACTTTTGTAGTGTCCTTGTGGTACCAATGAAGTGCCCTTTAGTACTTTTGTAGTGTCCTTGTAGTGTCTTTGTTATACTTTTGTGGTGTCCTTGTAGTACCTTTGTAGTGTCCTTGTAGTACCCTTGTAGTGCCCATGTAGTACACTTCTAGTATCCTTGTAGTACCTTCTTAGTGCCTTTATGGTGTCCACCAAGTACTTTTGTGGTACAATTTCATTATCACTCTTCTTACTTTGTTTTTTTCTTCTGCTTAAGAAGTCTCCCCTGAAAGCCACCAGCTTCATCGTCGTCAACACGACCTATGATGTTCCCAACAATCTTGCCGAAGTTGGTTTATGATTGGTAAATAGTCGAAAAGGGTAACTGCACACGTAGTGGGCATGACGTGTTCATAGTTCAGCACTGTGGAATGATTAATTATTGCAGAAAGAGTAAATCGTTTCGTGTCTACTAAAGATGCGATGTAGTCAGTGCTAAATGCAAAGCATAGAGGGACGGGACGAATGGAAAAAGATAATTTAATTGATTTCAATATTTTGAGACACACAAAGGCAGAAAAAAATGGGAAGCTAACGGCAATATTGATAACGGCAACGAGAAACGCATTAATCTCGGCAAAAATACTGACACACTGGGGCAATCAATCTTTAAAAATGCGACTGGGAGAGTTAGCAGCAGCATACACACGCTGGCAACAGACTTTCGGCTTTTCATCTTCAAATCAAGACCATTAAAGAGCGATTTTAATGGAATGGACCAAGTCTTGTGCTCAAAATTGAAAAGGAAGCCACTGGAAAAGGAAGCCAATGGAAAAGGAAGCCAATGGAAAAGGAAGCCAATGGAAAAGGAAGCAGGGATAGGCTTTACAGAGACTGAGGGAGAAAATAGGTAGGAAATATAAATGAATAATAAAGAGGAACGATGACGGAAACAATTTTATTTGCTAATATCTGTGAAGAGTGTGTAGACCAAGTGATCGTGAAGACCGTGGACGCAAATAAACATTCAAAGACAATAAGTGTCGCAGTGATCTCTTAATGTTGAGGAATTTCACCTGCAAATGGTACAAGTCGGATTTACTATGAAGTCTGGTGACGGCATAACCAGAGGACTTCTAGGCACAAACGTATATTATGATGTTGGACGGTATCCAGGCTAGAGAGGGAAGTATAGGAACGCAGCTGATCCCCCATAGATACAATCAAGGCCAAGGGAAGGCGAATAAGTGTATGTCTGTTAGTTCTTATTATTCCACTGATGGAGAAGACAATGCCAGGCCAGGGGAAGGTGAAATAAATAAAGGTGCAAACAACGTATTGCAAATGCTCACATTAGCAATGGATTAAGTTGGAAAAAAATAGATTTAGAGAGGCTATTGAGAAGCGGTTGTGTAGTAATAGAGTTGTGAATGAGTGGAACAAATTCCCGAATAACGTCATTGAAGCTAAAACGTTTTGTTGATTTAAAAATAGGTTAGACAGATACATGAGTGGGTGTGAGTTGGACGTGACTAGCTTGGACAGGTGTGATTTGGACCTGCCTAGTATGGGCCAGTAGGCCTGCTGCAGTGCCCCTTTCTTATGCTCTTATAATTTGCTGTAGGTTGACACCTCAACAATGAACCAATGGAGCGTGCAAACACTGGTCCAGCTGACGTCCGTTATTATCTCAACAATACACAAATACGACTCACGCAATCATAATGACACGATTGCAAATAAACCATACCACGGGTGGGGTTTGAACCCGCGGTCAGAGAGTCTCATGTTGAAGGCTTTGAGGGGACTTGAGCTAGAGTTCGTCACAGCCATGCTAGAGGAAGATTCGTCTGTAAAAACTTGCATTTGTGGTCACAGTAGTGCCTATGCTAACCTTCCTATGGTGTAGAAATATACCTAGTTGGACGAATCTTATTGTGGCTAGTTGGTCCAGTGGCTAGTTGGTCCAGTGGCTAACGCGACGATCTGGAGTTTTTAGACTCTCTGACCGCGGGTTCAAACCCCACCCGTGGTATGGTTTATACACACATACCTTTGTAGAGATTAGGTGATGAAAGATTGGATATCAGATTGGAGGGAGAGAGTATGGAGGAGGTGAATGTATTCAGATATTTGGGACGTGGACGTGTCAGCGGATGGGTCTATGAAAGATGAGGTGAATCATAGAATTGATGAGGGGAAAAGGGTGAGTGGTGCACTTAGGAGTCTGTGGAGACAAAGAACTTTGTCCTTGGAGGCAAAGAGGGGAATGTATGAGAGTATAGTTTTACCAACGCTCTTATATGGGTGTGAAGCATGGGTGATAAATGTTGCAGCGAGAAGAAGGCTGGAGGCAGTGGAGATGTCATGTCTGAGGGCAATGTGTGGTGTGAATATAATGCAGAGAATTCGTAGTTTGGAAGTTAGGAGGAGGTGCGGGATTACCAAAACTGTTGTCCAGAGGGCTGAGGAAGGGTTGTTGAGGTGGTTCGGACATGTAGAGAGAATGGAGCGAAACAGAATGACTTCAAGAGTGTATCAGTCTGTAGTGGAAGGAAGGCGGGGTAGGGGTCGGCCTAGGAAAGGTTGGAGGGAGGGGGTAAAGGAGGTTTTGTGTGCGAGGGGCTTGGACTTCGAGCAGGCATGCGTGAGCGTTAATGATAGGAGTGAATGGAGACAAATGGTTTTTAATACTTGACGTGCTGTTGGAGTGTGAGTAAAGTAACATTTATGAAGGGGTTCAGGGAAACCGGCAGACCGGACTTGAGTCCTGGAGATGGGAAATACAGTGCCTGCACTCTGAAGGAGGGGTGTTAATGTTGCAGTTTAAAAACTGTAGTGTAAAGCACCCTTCTGGCAAGACAGTGATGGAGTGAATGATGGTGAAAGTTTTTGTTTTTCGGGCCACCCTGCCTTGGTGGGAATCGGCCAGTGATAATAAACCTTTGTAGAGCGTAAACGGATTGTTACAGTGTTCACAGTAAACATCAAGAGATAAATGCAGTTTCTAAGAGACAAAACTGATGTGTTGGGTCAGTCCATCAGCCACTTTGCTAGGGTCGGCTACCTCGACTCTAGCAATGTTATGAATGGGAACTTGCTGAACTTACTTATGGTTCCGGGGATCATCGCTTGCCTGTTCGGTCTCAGACCAGACCTTTTGTTTGAAGGTTTGGTCACTCAGGCTGTCTGCGTTCACTGTAAGCAGTTTGATGTAGGTACTACAGCCGGCTGATAAAGAATTGTTTGGAGAAAGTTTTGAAGTTTCTTTGTAAGGACACTGGTCTTGTAGTAATTCCTTCTACCTTTGAAAGGAGCAAGTTAAAGAATCTTGGAACCTTTATAACTAATAAGTTATCTAAACCATACCACGGATGGGGTTTGAACCCGCGGTCAGAGTCTCAAAACTCCAGTCCGTCGCGTTAGCCACTGGGTCAGTTAGCTTCAATAAGATTCATCCAACTAAGTATATTTCTAAGGTCTATGCTAACCTTCCTATGGTGTAGAAATATACCTAGTTGGATGAATCTTATTGAAGCTAGCTGGCCCAGTGGCCAACACGACGGTCTGGAGTTTTGAAACCCTCTGACCGCGAGTTCAAACCCCACCCGTAGTATGGCTTGTTTGCAATCGTGTCATTACGATTTCGTGAGTCAAGTTAATAAGTTATCTCTTAGTATATCTATTTCTCTATTTCATTTTATTGGGATATTTTCGACTGTCTGTCGTATCATATATTAATGGTTTACAAAATGACCAACTAGATAAGACAAAAGTGTAACACATGGCTGTCTGAAGACAGCCATGTGTTACACTTTTGTGGAGACGCTTATACAACCAATTGCTTTATCATTCGAATAGAGAGAATTATAATACAGACGGTAGAAGACATGAGAAAGCAGATTGAAGTGATCAGTTCTCAATATAGATGAATTTGTTGACACTGGAAGACGTGGAGAATTAGTTTCCTTGGATCAAGTTTCTCAGCTTAGAAAAGAGATGTTCCATCTGACGATTCTCCATAGTAAAGATACCCAAGTGTTGCACATGTATGTTATTCATCTACTGTCTGTCGTGTTCCCCGCTATCGTATAAATTAATTTCTTGGTGCAAATTTCGAATTGATTTGTCCAGATTTGGCATGTTAAAATTATGATAATTTTTTTGTCCTATGCTCCAGTGAGTACATTAGAAAGGATTTTAGTCGTTCCTAAAAGGATGAATTGACTCTTGCAGCAAAAGTTCTTCGTGCATTCTCACCATGTGTAGTTTTGCATGCCAAATTTGAAGCTGGTAGGTGCAAAACCACTAAATATGGTCGCTTAATTTTGATGGTGTTATCGAGCCTTTTGCTTTCTGAGCAGTTGATATTGTAACACTTATTTTCCTTGAAACTAATATCTTCCGATATGGTTACCCTTTGGTCCCTTTCGTATCGAGTTTTCTTCTACATACTGGAAGACTGATCTGCCCAAGAAGGATGCCACTCTATTGCATATTCTTACGTCGTCTGTCATGGATGTTGTTGGGCTGTATATGTTTGTCAGTGTGGCATGCAGAGAGTATGTAACCTTTATTCGGCGCATGTACACACCCTCATTAAAAGGCTACCTCCTTAACCAGCGAACTGGATACTAAGGGTCGGACGATGGAGCCCCATCGTCGGATCAGTATCTAGGTTCAGCCAATGAGAGGGTGGGTCTGGCAATTGTGGAAGTGGAGTGGTCACCACTCACATTTCCAGCTTTGTCATTTTCACCCAGCTGCTGGTTGAACACGGTTATCCATTCTGTCTCCAGGCTGTCTTTGCCTCTTGATTTACCGTGTTGTACACATATATTTCCAACTGTATATAGTGTACATACTTGTAAATACTGATAATCGCACTTGGTGAAGGAAAATATAATTCAAAGTCATTCAGCTGTGTTTGCTCCGCTTTACACCCAGGATAACAGGCCTTTTTGTTCCTGGGTTGTAATAGTCAGATATATTTATGAGAAAAGAAATTGGGACGAGTAATATACCTTGGGAAATAGAGCTTTTCAAAACTGAAGACTGATTTTACTTTGTTGATTATTGCTCTTTAGAGTCCGAACTGGTATGAAGCTGAAGATCACAGTATACACATTATAAATGGCTGTTGACCATTTCCATTGCTTTTATTAGTAACCATATGATGAACGATGCCTTTGAACATAATCCTGAGATATCCTGATTTTATCCAAAGTGCTGCAACCTATTTGTTTCCCAAATACATACACCTATACCTCAATGGATTGGGACACACTACATTTTGTAGTGTGTCCCAATCCATATTGTTACACATTAGTGGTGTAGCAGTTCTGTGGGGATGGAGCAACCTGTTCTAAAACCATATTGTCCGTGGTTATGTAAATGTTTTGATTCCATATGTTTAGGAATCCTGTCTTTCAGAATCCATTGCTAAGATTTTTTGGAATCCTTCCTCTCAGAACCCCTCACTAAGATTTTTTTATTTGTGAGGTCAGTGCTATCAGTCTATAATTTTTTGAAGTTGAATTATTATTGAGTTATACAAGTCTTGACATGGAACAGAAACTATGGACGTTTTATCAGTGACTTCTTAAGAATCACGTGGGATTTAAGATTGTAATAAATTTTGGAAGAGTTTGTTCCGTTCGTGAAAAAAAGGCGAGTTAGTTATCAGTGTTTGGTCTGATTAATGGCTTATTGAACAGTGAGTTATACTGAACGTTCATTTCTTTGTTATCAGAAAAGTAAACTTCACCCAGTCCTCGAGGTTTTACTCTTGATTCCTGCATAAAAGTATTTTCTTCAAAAAACCTAAACTTTAGATAAGTTCTATGACTGTCTCCGCCTATAGAGGACGTATTGTTCGTTTTCTAATTTGTATATTTATTTATCAGTGATAACGAGTATTAAGTATGTGTCTTGCATCTCTAAGCTCAATTGCTGGAGACATTAATGTGTTTATGTTACGTATATTTTCTCACAAAATATACATATCAACTGTTCCCAATTAATGTATTGGTTAAATTGTACAAACTGCATACATCCTTCTTATCGAATACGGTCTCCATCTAATTTAGATTTAAATTTAGATTACGGTTTACGTTTGATGTCTTTAGCACATCGAATAATTATGATATTTGCCAGTTTGGCCGGTTTAGTTACTTATTTACTAAAGCAAATTTGATGTATTGTCTCAGGGACCTCCTTGTGACCTGTGTCATGGGACTTTCTCTTCTACTAAAATATCTGGTCAATTCTTCCATTTAGGTGTCTTAACACTACACAAATAAACTTTTGGCTTCTATGCGCGGTAATTTGTGTATTGTGTCTGCCACGGTATTGTGCCTTTTTGTTCTATAGATGTCTTAAATTTGCATCGATAAGCAAGATGTTTGGGGACGGCTTTATAACTTAATTAGACCGACTTCAAATTGTGTTTAATAAAGCTGAATCATTAAGAAATCTTTATCATGGGATAATTTAACAAAGATTTTGTTGCCTCATCACATCTCAAGTTGATTACAAGTGCAGCTTAAGATGGGTGATACATAGTATATCTTACCTTCAAGCCAGCTGACAGGTGGACGGAAAGAACTATTTTTAATGTATATATACTTGAGGGTATTTTGCAGATATAATTCCGAGGTGGCGTGGAGTATCCTCACTTAGAGGAAGACCTTTTATCTAATTCGACGGTTTATATTTCATGTGGATTATATTTAGTCAAAGATCTACTTTCGCTCTATGCTTTGTTTTTCTCTACCACTACCAACCCAAAGCTCTTCCCTCTAACATTGCCTTTTTACAGTCCCAAAGAAAATACTCTCATCAGTCAAAATATTTGTAGGCTTCCACATCCTTCAGGCCTACTGATAAATTATAGCTAATCTGATGTAACAAGTTACGACTCGCATTCGTCCTGTTTTAAGTAACTGACAGTGTACGTGAACGTGAAATTGTTATGGCATTGTTTATTAGTCTCCAGATTTTTTTTTTAACTCATTCTAAATTATATGTAAAGTAAATGACTATGCAGTTGTTGTTGTATTATATAAATTACAACATTTAGCCAGGGTGATAATGAATGAGACACTTGGGTATGTTTAGTGAGGCAACATTTCAGCAGTAAATTAACCACTGTTCTGGTGGTGTTAGAACCCATGGCAAGTGAGTCGTAAAACTCCAGGCCAGTGTGTAACCCACTGGGCCAGCTGGCTACAATGAGATTCACGCAACTAGGAATATTTATACACCATAGAGAAGTTAGTACACGCACCACTGTGGCCACAAATGCAAGGTCCATCACAGGATGAATGGTGAAAGATGTGTTCAATCCATTAATCTTGATCAAAGTACCCATCCATCTTTGTCCCGGACTGAGGAATGGAGAAATGTTTTCACAGTAAATATACCCAAGTGTTGCACAAGTGTTTCAGTCATCAACGTGAAGGTTTACAAGTCATGGTGTTGCCTTGTGTAGGGTGACCAACACAACCTTCATGCAGCAGGTAACCTTCGTCCAACTTGCTCAAAGTTTTCCCCCTTCTGACTGCTGGAACATCTAGGAACTGAACTGTCACTGAACTGAGCAACTCAAGTTTGTGATGACTCTTGATACTTGACTGATGTATAACCTGTGTTTACTTCAGCTATCAGTTAACGTGACAGTCATTGCACCAGTTATTATATAAAATCGTTTTAACGTAAAACATGGTTATTATATCATAATTTTGGAGGAATTATTATTGGCTCAATATTTAATTTTGTATTTACAGTTTTTTGTAAAATTGTAATTAAGATTTTACAAAAAATTGTAAATGAGTTCAAATAGGAAGCGAGTCTGCAGAATGACCCACATGGGTTTAGTGCTTAACATTTATTATTTAATGATTATTAAAAATTCTTATTTGTCAATGTATTTTTGCTTGCACTGATGATTATTTTATATTACAACAGCAGTAAAGTAACTATAGACTTTAAGCATAAGCAGAAATGTTATTCGCCACGTCATGATGTTGGAAATTATCGAATATTTTATCAATACAAATTTGTGCGGAGTCACGTCCAATATGGCTGACAAGTGTAAATTATTTGGTATTGGTTATGTGACTGAAAAAAATTAATGTCATTTATGGTGTATACATGTAAAATATATATACTGGGTTCCATCAGGTGTACCACCAGGTGTGCCACCAGGGGATCCACAAGGTGTACCACCAGATGTACCACCAGATGTACCACTACGTGTTCCACACCAGGGGTACCACCAGGTGTACCACTAGGTGTTCCACACCAGGGGTACCACCAGCTGTATGTTTTCTAAATATGAATTTAATATTCTATTTTTTTCCAAGCGTCTTATAGTTGCTCACAGTAATAATTTATGTATGAATTAACAAAGCTTTTATTTCTTGAATTAGTCTCTCTTATATCCGCAGGACCCGCATGTCTCTATCTCAGACATTATTTGTAGAAAGTTATATTTCACATGTGTAAAGGGGACTAAAAGAGGGGAGGGAGGGGAGATAATAATATGGAATATCAAGAAGTGCATGATCGACACCAGGTGGACCAGTGGTTCATAAACCTCGGATGGAGCCTTAATGTTAGTGAAGAGATGTTGATCCAAGTAAATTGAAGCTACTCTTCCCTATGACCCGTACGCCTACAGGTGAATTAAAAAATGGTAACTTAGTTTTAGCACCTAACAAGGATATTAGACGTAGTGTAATTGTATTGTTTACATGCGTCATTCAGCTGGATATCCTGCAGACTCCTGCAGGATATCCATGATTGAAATATTTAAAAAATCGAGGAGTCATCGGAAATCGAACTCTCAGCCAGGAATATCCATGTCAAACATATTTCCAATGGTACCAAATTATAGTGAGCTTTAGTAATGTGCAATTTTGGTATAAAAAACAGGGTTTGTTGATTTCTGGTTTCAGTACTCTTAACCTGTTCATGTCACGAGGGTTAGCGTGTGTAACACGGACATTATTGGTCGTGATTTAAGAATCGTTCACTATTTCTCAGTTTTCGTTACAAAATTGCACTCGAGAACACTCGACACATCAGCCATTATGGTTCTGGCAGCTGTAAGAGTTTACTTTCTGATTACAGAGGGTGGACCGTAGCTTCATCTAGAGCCAGGAGCCGTGCAGAGGCAGTTTCTTAGCTTGAACCTTGTAGAGGCAGGCAGTGTTGTGATGACCCCCGGTGGTGTAGGGAATGGTGGGGTTGAGGATGGCACAGTTGTTGTACCAAAACCCAGCTTTGTCGTCCTCGACACAGTTCTTACCTAGAGTAGGTGTTATAGTGAGTACTTTCATCAATGGACTCTTCGTTTGAACTATCATTATCACATTACCCTCTATTTACCACTAAATATCCTCTGACAATTTCCCCTTTTGTCTCCATCCTGCATTCACATCTCATCCTAGCAAGCAACCATTCAACCTAGCCCCACACATTCACTTGACCCCACACATTCACTTGACCCCACACATTCACTTGACCCCACACATTCACTCTTCCTCACACATTCACTCTTCCCCACACATTAACTAAACCCTACACATTCAATCTACCCCTCTCATCCATCCCAACCCTACATATTCATTCTACCCCTCCCTCTCATCTAACACAACCCCACACTTTCATTCCACCCCTCCCACTCATAGAACGCAACCCCACACAATCACGAGAGTAAGCGTGTGTAATACTGATATTATTTGTCGTGAGTAAAGAATCGTCTTGACACATCACTCATTATGGTTATGACAGTTGTAAGAGTTTAGGTAGACAGCCTTGATGTTCTGGTTGCAGATAGTGGGTCGTAGCTTCATCTGCATCCAGGAGCCGTGCAGGGGCAACTTCTTAGCTTGGACCTTGTAGAGGCAGGCAGTGTTGAGGTGACCATCGGTGGTGTAAGGGATGGTGGGGTTGAGGGTGGCACAGTTGTTGTACCAAAACCCACCTTTGTCGTCCTCGGCACAGTTCTTACCTGCAGCAGGTGTTACAGTGAGTACTTTCATCATCGAACTCTTTGTTTACACTAATCATTATTACATTACCCTCTGTTTCCCACTAAACATCGGCTGACAGTTTCCCCGTTTGTTTCCATCCTGCCTACATCATCATCCTACCAAGCAACCATCCAACCCAACCTCACACGTTCACTCTACCCCACACATTAAGGCAACCTCACACGTTCACTCCGCCTTTCCCTCTTGTTTATACTTATTTTGTTTATCTTTATTTCTACAGGTACATGTACAAGGTATACAGGCCTAGCTGACATCACTGACATACTAATATGTAGAAAGCCACTTATGCCTGAGCATTTGGGGCAAATAAGGTCAGTTTTGTTCCAGGATGCGACCCACATCAGTCGATTACCACCCAGGTACCCATTTTATACTGATGGGTGAACAGAGAAACACGTTCCTAATGTTTTCCAGCCGTACCGGAGATTCAAACTTCGGACCTCAGTGTATGAGCTGAGTGCGCCAGCTATCGAGTTAGGGGACACCTGAAGAATTGCTTCCCACTCGTCAAATCTCAATCTCTCCCACTCTTTCTAGTTATTTTGTTAGGTTATAGTTTATTAACAGCACATTAATAATTAAGGATGCATTTCATCTTCACACTAACATCAAGAATACGTCTGCCCCTTCCCTACTCTATCCACACTTCAAATGAATATCCAGCATCCACTCCAAATCACTCACTTTCCCACTAAAAAACGACCACATAGTTACATCCCTAAAACGCACGGATAAGCAGGAACATAATATTCCACAAATAGAGACGCGAGGATTCGAGTGTAATACACAAATGAGCTATCACTAAAAGATGGAAAACTAAAAAATAAAACATCACTCAAATATTCCGATATTATAGCACTCACAGAGACAAAACTGATGAGGATAAAAAATTTCCCAGAGGGGTACAACAAAATGAAATTTGATGAGCAGAGAAAGTGTGGAATACAAATATTATGTACACAGAAATATGCTGATATGAGAGGTCAAGATGATGACAGTAATATACAGCATACAACCGAACAGCAGGAGGCCGAACTTTGAATATAAATAAAAAAAGTCAATAAGGCTTTTTAAAAATACACATATAGTAATCTGAGCATAAGCAGAATTACTAATTATAAAAAATCAATCCTAGAGAAATTGAACTGTAAACGCAGGACCTGCGTGTCTGCCAGAAGTGTAGAGATCAAAGTTAATGAAGGAGGTAATTAAAAACTTTGGCTTGATATTCACTCTAAACGACTCGGTAAAAAAAAATGTAGTAGTAGATAGAGTAATACAACAGGAAGAAGTATAAGGCAGAGAATATCTAGTGGGGTTCCCTAAGACTCAGTACTAGGCCAATATTCTTCCTCGTACACGTAAATGACCTTCCCTACGTGGCCATAACATATGTATCTGTGTTTGTATATAAACAGGAGATAGCAGAGAATACTTAAAGGATGATTTAAACAGGTCAGACGGGTGATCAAAGAAGTGATGACTGGATTTTAATCCAAAGGAGGTGCAAAATCGATAATGGACTACAAACAGGAAGAAGTACAAAAGAGTATAAACAGGAAAGAGAGAAACTACAATCTGTGAGTGACCATCAGTTGAATATATCGCTGCAAGAACACATCAACTTCGGCAGCGTATGAGATTAATGAATCTCAGAATATTCTTCAAGACATGACAAGCCCTTCTTGGAATACGCAGTGCAAGAGTCTAGCTACCACCAGACAAGGCAGAACCGAAAAGTGCGCAAAGTTTTGCCGCTAAATAATTGGTAATTGCTGAGAGATGTGCAATACAGGCAGAGACTAATGGACTCAACCTGAGAATTCGTGTAGAGAAGCGAACTAAGGAAGACATGATTGTGACATAAAGGATACTCAGTGGAATCTATAGGGACATGCTGTTTGAAGTACGAGGATCAGAAACAAGGGGATGCAGATGGAAACTAAAAATGCAAATAAATCACAGGGATATTTAAAAGTGTTTTTCAGTTTTAGGGCAATAAGGAACTTGCACGAACTTAACAAAGGCAATCGGCGAAAACAAACTCAATACATAATTTTTTAGAGTAGATATGATTGAACTCAAAAGGGTAAAAACTAGTATGCCTAGTCTCAGACCATGTAAAAAAAAAAAATTGCTGAGTACAATATCAGTCGTGTGTCTAAAACACAAAGTAACTTCTCAGAATTTTTTTTGTCATTAGCTAGTTTTTTCTATTTTAGATTTTAGTTTCTTCATTATTCATTTATATACATGTGCCTCACATTTATTATCAGCATAACGTTACTTGCGTTACCAACATGACTTGCGTGACCTTACCTGCACGACCTTAATTACCTGCATCGCCTTATATGTATTATAAGCATGACTTTACCTGCATTACCATCGTTGTCGTAGTCGAAGGTGGAGAATTGTCGGGCGTTGTGGTGCGGCATGCAGTTGTCAATCATGCTCAGAGCGTTGTACTTGACAACGGTAAGTTTGTACCTGAAACATAAAACAGTGATCATGCTTAGAGTTTTGCATTTAGCAACAACCAACTTGTACCTGCAGCAGATCAACAGACATACTACGTATGTGTTGATCTGCGGGCGGAGGATCGAGCCTCTATTCATGAATCTGATTTGCACAGGATAAATATGGAAGTGAATGTAATACGAGGAAGTTTAAAGTGAGCATTAAAAGCCTAGTAATGAAAATAAAAATTATCTAGGCAATGAAAGTCTAAATATCAGATTAGAGGGAGATGATATGCAGGACGTGAGTGTATTCAGGCATTTGTGAGTGGTTGAGAAGGCACGTGGGTCAGTGAAAGATGTGAACCACAGAATACAGAAGAGGTTAAAAGGCAGGTGGAACGCTGAGGCATCTGTGGAAAGGAAGTTTATCTATAGAGACAAACAGGGAAATATATCACGATAAACTGAAGCATGGGCTTTAAACGTTGCAGCGAAGACGAGGCTCGAGGCAATGGCGATGTCATGTGTAGACGAACATTATGAAAACAGTTTGGAGAGTAGAAATTAGAAGAAGGTTATGGGAAGCATAATTCAGAGGGGTTAGCAATAATGGTAGACTTATCGACAAAATGTCAGGTAAATGGACTCAGATCCAACTAATGTGACATTGTGGCAACGTTTCGCTCTCCAGGGAGCTTTGTCAAGTCGTTATGAGAGGTTGACGAGGTGGTGCCGGCGTTGAGAAAGGACAGAAGAGCAGAATTCGATACCAAGGAAGATTTGGAAAGAGGAGACAAAGAAGACTAGACTACTGGTAATTTGAGCATCCAGCAGGCTTGTATGAGCATGTTAGATCGTAATGAGTAATATGGTTTGGCATATTACTGGAGCGTGAGCAAGGTAACATTTGTAAAGGGATTGAGAGCAAACCAATCGCCGCAATTGAGTCCTGGAGGTGTAAAGTACAGTACACCGTCAAGGAAGTGGTAGTAGTGCTGCAGTTCGGCTGGCCAGGATTTGATCCTGCATTCCCATGCCCAGCCCTGTGCATCCCTCTATCCCTCTCTATCCGTGCATCTCTCTATCTCTCTATAAACATGAATATCCTCAAATCTACCCAACAGTCTTTTATTTACCAATACGTAGTCCGACAAACTACTGTCATTACTCCATATATCTTGTATACATATTTATCCTTCTTTTCTTAAAATATGTGTTACCTATAACCAAACCCCTTTCAGTACAAAGTTCAACCAAAGCCTCCCCCCCCCCATTATCATTTACACCTGGAACCTCAAACTTACCTCTCTAAACGTTTCTAATACTTTAGCATTTAGGTCCCCTACCACAATCATTCTCTCACTTGGTTCAAAAGTTCCTGCAAACTCTCTTAACGTCTCTAAACACTCTCTCTCTCTCTCTCTCTCTCTCTCTCTCTCTCTCTCTCTCTCTCTCTCTCTCTCTCTCTCTCTCTCTCTCTCTCTCTCTCTCTCTCTCTCTCTCTCTTCTCCAGGTGCATACACATTCATTAAGACCCACTTTTCGCATCCATCCCTTATTTTAATCCACGTAATCATTGAATTTGTACATTTATATTCCCTCTTCTCCTTTCTTTAGCTCTAACCCTCTCAGATACTCCTGACTTAATCCCATTTATTTCTCCTGATTGAAACTAACCTACCCCCTTCAGGTCTGTTTCACTTAGAGCCAGGACATCCAACATCTTTTCATTCTTAACATTAGCAATCATCTCTTATCACCCACACTATAGGCACATTCAAACATCCTAGTTTTATAAATTTTTTCCTCTCTTTTTTTAGCAGTTTATACAGGAGAGGAGGTTACTAGCCTATTGCTCCCAGCATTTTAGTCGCCTCCTACGACACGCATGACTTACGGAGGAAAGATTCTTTTCCACTTCCCCATGGAGAAAGAGGGAGTAAAGAAGAACAAGAACTATTAAGAAAAACGAAAAACTTAAATATGTGTATGAAAACATATGCATGTGCGTGCCTGTGTAATGTGACCTTAGAATAACTAGAAGTAGCAAGATATACCTGTTATCCAGCGTGTTTATGAGACAGAAAAAGAACACCGGTTTACAATTATTTAATAAACACAATGAAATACATTGTTTTCGTTAAGTTCAGAATGATTTTTGCGAAATTATTGCATACGCAAGTTTGTGTATATTTCGCAACCACCCAGGGAAGTACTACCGTCCTGCCAGATGACTGTGAAACAGAAACCTGTAACTGTTTTGCATGATGGTGGGATTTCAGGTGTCTTTTTCTGTCTCATAAACACGCTAGATAACAGGGATATCTTGCTACTCCTACTTACACTTTGGTCACACTTCACAGACACACACATGCATATATATATACATACATCTAGGTTTTTCTCCTTTTTCTAAATAGCTCTTGTTCTTCTTTATTTCTTCTATTGTCCATGGAGAAGTGGAAAAGAATCTTTCCTCCGTAAGCCATGCGTGTCGCATGAGGCGACTAAAATGCTGGGAGCGATGGGCTAGTAACCCCTTCTCCTGTAGACATTTACTAAAAAAGAAAAAAAGAAAAACTTTATAAAACTGGGATGCTTGAATGTTCGTGGATGTAGTGCAGATGACAAGAAACAGATGATTGTTGATGTTATGAATGAAAAGAAGTTGGATGTCCTGGCCCTAAGCGAAACAAAGATGAAGGGGGTAAGGGAGTTTCGGTGGGGAGAAATAAATGGGATTAAATCTGGAGTATATGAGAGAGTTAGAGCTAAGGAAAGGGTAGCAATAATGTTGAAGGATCAGTTATGGAAGGAGAAAAGAGAATATAAATGTGTAAATTCAAGGATTATGTGGATTAAAGTAAAGATTGGATGCGAAAAGTGGGTCATAATAAGCGTGTATGCACCTGGAGAAGAGAGGAATGTAGAGGAGAGAGATTTTGGGAGATGTTAAGTGAATGTATAGGAACCTTTGAACCAAGTGAATGCTAAAGTAGGAGAAACTTTTAGAGAGGGTGTGGTAGGTAAGTTTGGGGTGCCAGGTGTAAATAATAATGGGAGCCCTTTGGTTGAACTTTGTATTGAAAGGGGTTTAGTTATAGGTAATACATATTTTAAGAAAAAGAGGATAAATAAGTATACGAGATATGATGTAGGGCGAAATGACAGTAGTTTGTTGGATTATGTATTGGTAGATAGTAGACTTCAGGATGTACATGTTTATAGAGGGGCCACAGATATATCAGATCACATTTTAGTTGTATCTACAGTGAGAGTAAAAGGTAGATGGGATACAAGGAGAATAGAAGCATCAGGGAAGAGAGAGGTGAAGGTTTATAAACTAAAAGAGGAGGCAGTTAGGGTAAGATATAAACAGCTATTGGAGGATAGATGGGCCAATGAGAGCATAGGCAATGGGGTCGAAGAGGTATGGGGTATATTTAAAAATGTAGTGTTAGAGTGTTCAGCAGAAGTTTGTGGTTACAGGAAAGTGGGTGCGGGAGGGAAGAGGAGCAATTGGTGGAATGATGTAAAGAGAGTAGGGAGAAAAATTTAACACATGAGAAATTTTTACAAAGAAGAGATGCAAGGAGGGAAGAGTATATGGAGAAAAAGAGAGAGGTTAAGAGAGTGGTGAAGCAATGTAAAAAGAGAGCAAATGAGAGAGTGGGTGAGATGTTATCAACAAATTTTGTTGAAAATAAGAAAAAGTTTCGGAGTGAGATTAACAAGTTAAGGAAGCCTAGAGAACAAATGGATTTGTTAGTTAAAAATAGGAGAGGAGAGTTATTAAATGGAGAGTTAGAGGTATTGGGAAGATGGAGGGAATATTTTGAGGAATTGTTAAATGTTGATGAAGATAGGGAAGCTGTGATTTCGTGTATAGGGCAAGGAGGAACAACATCTTGTAGGAGTGAGGAAGAGCCAGTTGTGAGTGTGGGGGAAGTTCGTGAGGCAGTAGGTAAAATGAAAGGGGGTAAGGCAGCCGGGATTGATGGGATAAAGATAGAAATGTTAAAAGCAGGTGGGGATATAGTTTTGGAGTGGTTGGTGCAATTATTTAATAAATGTATGGAAGAGGGTAAGGTACCTAGGGATTGGCAGAGAGCATGTATAGTTCCTTTGTATAAAGGTAAAGGGGACAAAAGAGAGTGCAAAAATTATAGGGGGATAAGTCTGTTGAGTGTACCTGGTAAAGTGTATGGTAGAGTTATTGAAAGAATTAAGAGTAAGACGGAGAATAGGATAGCAGATGAACAAGGAGGCTTTAGGAAAGGTAGGGGGTGTGTGGACCAGGTGTTTACAGTGAAACATATAAGCGAACAGTATTTAGATAAGGCTAAAGAGGTTTTTGTGGCATTTATGGATTTGGAAAAGGCGTATGACAGGGTGGATAGGGGGGCAATGTGGCAGATGTTGCAGGTGTATGGTGTAGGAGGTAGGTTACTGAAAGCAGTGAAAAGTTTTTACGAGGATAGCGAGGCTCAAGTTAGAGTATGTAGGAAAGAGGGAGATTATTTCTTAGTAAAAGTAGGCCTTAGACAAGGATGTGTGATGTCACCGTGGTTGTTTAATATGTTTATAGATGGGGTTGTAAGAGAAGTAAATGAGAGGGTCTTGGCAAGAGGCGTGGAGTTAAAAGATAAAGAATCACACATAAAGTGAGAGTTGTCACAGTTGCTCTTTCCTGATGACACTGTGCTCTTGGGAGATTCTGAAGAGAAGTTGCAGAGGTTGGTGGATGAATTTGGTAGGGTATGTAAAAGAAGAAAATTAAAAGAGAATACAGGAAAGAGTAAGGTTATGAGGATAACAAAAAGATTAGGTGATGAAAGATTGGATATCAGATTGGAGGAAGAGAGTATGGAGGAGGTGAATGTATTCAGATATTTGGGAGTGGACGTGTCAGCGGATGAGTCTATGAAAGATGAGGTGAATCATAGAATTGATGAGGGAAAAAGGGTGAGTGGTGCACTTAGGAGCCTGTGGAGACAAAGAACTTTGTCCTTGGAGGCAAAGAGGGGAATGTATGAGAGTATAGTTTTACCAACGCTCTTATATGGGTGTGAAGTATGGGTGATGAATGTTGCAGCGAGGAGAAGGCTGGAGGCAGTGGAGATGTCATGTCTGAGAGCAATGTGTGGTGTGAATATAACGCAGAGAATTCGTAGTTTGGAAGTTAGGAGGAGATGCGGGATTGCCAAAACTGTTGTCCAGAGGGCTGAGGAAGGGTTGAGGTGGTTCGGACATGTAGAGAGAATGGAGAGAAGCAGAATGATTTCAAGAGTGTATCAGTCTGTAGTGGAAGGAAGGCGGGGTAGGGGTCGGCCTAGGAAAGGTTGGAGGAAGGGGGTAAAGGAGGTTTTGTGTGCGAGGGGCTTGGACTTCCAGCGGGCATGCGTGAGCGTGTTTGATAGGAGTGAATGGACACAAATGGTTTTTAATACTTGACGTGCTGTTGGAGTGTGAGCAAAGTAACATTTATGAAGGGGTTCAGGGAAACCGGCAGGCCGGACTTGAGTCCTGGAGATGGGAAGTACAGTGCCTGCACTCTGAAGGAGGGGTGTTAATGTTGCAGTTTAAAAACTGTAGTGTAAAGCACCCTTCTGGCAAGACAGTGATGGAGTGAATGATGGTGAAAGTTTCTCTTTTTCGGGCCACCCTGCCTTGGTGGGAATCGGCCAGTGTGTTAATAAAAAAAGATAATTATATATATATATATATATATATATTATATATATATAATAAATATATATATATATATATATATATATATATAATAAAGTAGAGATAGTAACTCACAAGCTATCAGCATTCTCTACAAGAAAGTCTGGCCATTCTCCCCACTTCAGACTTCCGTCTTTCACTTGGAAGTCCATCCGCATTGTCTGTGGTCTGCTGTAGGTCAGCGTGTGTAGGTGCTCGTTACCTGTACACGTGCAATAGGTAGTAGTTAGTACATAGTAACAGGTACATATGATAGTTATTGCTTAGCAAGTAGCACACAAGGTGGTAGTTACCTATACTCATGCAAACGATGGTAGTTACCTGTACTCGTGCACAAGGCGGTAGTTACGTGTATTGGTGCACAAGGTGATTGGTAGTTCAATATATTCTGTGCAACACTGGCTAAGAACATAGTTATAATTAAGATTTATTTTATAATCAAGACTTAACTTGAGAGGAATAATAATGTAAATATAAGTGGTTGTGGGGTTTCGGCTCGGCAACGGCGGTAGTACATGTAGTGGTGGTAGTAGTAGTAGTAGTAGTAGTAGTAGTAGTAGTAGTAGTAGTAGTAGTAGTAGTGGTAGTGATAGTGGTGGTATGAACGGGAAGAGGGTGATTGTGAATGTATTAGCAGCTTCAGAGGGTTACAGTGCCAAAACAACTTTTAAATACCGCTTTAGAAAAGTATGTGGGTAAGAGTTCCTCTAATGCAGAAATTAAGGGGACGTACCCAGCCAGTACTCGCCAGAGGCATTGCCGAAGCCTGCGCTGTAATCACTCCATGTGCGGTTAAAATTCTCCCTGTTGGTGAGGTTGTGTCTGGACAGGAACACAGTCCAGCCTCCACCGTCAGTCTCCATGTCACACCAAACCTCCACGGGCTTCGTGCAGCGACAGCTTCAAATGAAAAAAATTACAGTAACGTCGTTCATGATAAAACTGGCAGCTTGTATTACGTTTTCATGTTACAGAAATCCATTAGTAAGAGACGAAGAACTAGTATCATTACTGCGACACATGGCATCCTCATCTGGGCTATGTAACGTGCGTTAGTGACGTTCTTCTTGAAGTAAATATCGTTGAAATGTAAATATGTGTATTCTACATGTTTTCTGTTCGTGATTAAAGCCTTTTTTTTCTAATGTTTATTTCATTTATTGGTGTTACTTTACGTTATACTTAACTTGAATTTAACAGATGACTTTCTAACCTTACCTAAGCAAATATTTTTTCCTGAGGGGATGTGCTAATTCTACGAAAAATTTGATGTTTGTGTCAATCTCACAATTTTTTCACCTGTTTCGGTGTCTTATATATGATTTCAATAGTTGAGTGCTATACTGTACTCGGGACTCACCTGTACTCTACTTGTTTAGTCCTCAGATTATAGTTTGTCTGTTACTGCATAATATTTGTTCCATTAACTACACACAGTCAGAACGACTCGTACATTTCGCTGTATGGATTACAAATTGTCTGAACTAATTCGTACGTTTGTTACATGCACCTCAGATCGTATGAACTGACCCTTACGTTTGTTACATGCATCTCAGATTGTCTGACCTGACTCGTACGTTTGTTACATGCACCACAGATTGTCTGACCTGACTCGTACGTTTGATACATGCACCACAGATTGTCTGACCTGACTCGTACGTTTGTTACATGCACCACAGATTGTCTGACCTGACTCGTACGTTTGATACATGCACCACAGATTGTCTGACCTGACTCGTACGTTTGTTACATGTACCACAGATTGTCTGACCTGACTCGTACATTTGTTACATGCACCACAGATTGTCTGACCTGACTCGTACGTTTGATACATGCACCACAGATTGTCTGACCTGACTCGTACGTTTGATATATGCATCTCAGATTGTCTGACCTGACTCGTACGTTTGATATATGCATCTCAGATTGTCTGACCTGACTCGTACGTTTTAAGTCGTCCAGACAGTGGTCTGGTTGGTAAAGCTCCCGCTTCACACTCGGAGGCCCCCGGGTTCGATTTCCGGCGGGGTGGAAGCATTTCGACGCGTTTCCTTACACCTGGTCTCTTCACCTAGCAGCAAATAGGTACCTGGGTGTTAGTCGGCTGGTGTGGGTCGCATCCTGGGGGACAAAATTGAGGACCCAATGAAAATAAGACAAACAGTCCTCGATGACGCACTGTCTTTCTTGGCTTATCCTGGGTGGCTAACCCTCCGGGGTTAAAAATGCGAACGAAATCTTATCTTATCCCACCGAGTATGGTAAGAGGGAAAAATATAACCTTACGAGTTTAAACGCTTATAACATAGATGCTGTGGTCATCTCTTTGATAAGTAGGTATCGGGAGAGGAACTTAGCTCTAAACTTTGTATATAAAACAAGACGGCATTTCATACCCTGCTGCTCAATTACCCTTTTCGAGTGGTATCTTGATGCTCAGGAAGGGCTGTTGATCGAGTGGTGCCTTGATGCTCAGGAAGGGCTATTGATCGAGTGGTGCCTTGATGCTCAGGAAGGGCTATTGATCGAGTGGTGCCTTGATGCTCAGGAAGGGCTATTGATCGAGTGGTACCTTGATGCTCAGGAAGAGCTGTTGATCGAGTGGTACCTTGATGCTCAGGAAGGGCTGTTGATCGAGTGGTGCCTTGATGCTCAGGAAGGGCTATTGATCGAGTGGTGCCTTGATGCTCAGGAAGGGCTATTGATCGAGTGGTGCCTTGATGCTCAGGAAGGGCTATTGATCGAGTGGTGCCTTGATGCTCAGGAAGGGCTATTGATCGAAACACCCATAGCGGTTTTGGGGTAAAATCTATGGAGGGTACTCATCCCCCACACGTTTCTTGGCTCGAATCTGTCTCCTGTACTCCCATTCCTCTGGCACTGTACGACACCCACGAGTCATACATGTGAATCATGCCGGCCACAGAGATGGCTTAGTTTATATGCCTAGTTTGAAGGCCAAAAGGCATTGTCAGTTACTTACAAGTACATTTGCATAATGAATAATAATTTGTGCAACATGTGTATAGTTCTGTTATGTGATGAATTCAACTAAACATGAAGGAAGGACCTACTTGAAGGGGTAGATTTTGTAGACTCCGCTTGTAATGTAGCCGAGAAGCAAGTAGTCAGAGCAGTCTGTTGGCCTGAGGTAAACATTACTGATCAGAACATTGATAAGTGTGTGTGTGTGTGTGTGTGTGTGTGTGTGTGTGTGTGTGTGTGTGTGTAATACCTATTTGTGGTTGCAGGGGTCGAATCACAGCTCCTGGGCTCTGTATTTGTGTTAAAACATCATGTAATGCACACAAGGCAGCATTATGTTTAATTATTTATTTACCATCAGAATAAACTGTCGGTTCCCGGACATATTTAGTATCTCCTAAGAAGTCGTATAACTAGAAAAAATAATGATTTTTTTTAGTAGTTCTTCCAATTGTTTCTAAACTATTTTTTTCTTTTCAAGGGGGGGGGGAGTGTCCCCCTTGGTGTGGTGAAGGATTCTCGACACGAGGAATTAAAATTATTGTTCTTTTCCCCAGATCGAATGTAAAAACCCCTTCCCCCCCTCCAAATATTAAATACTAACACTGCCCATTCAGTGAATCCGAACCCATTTCCCGATTTGACAACAAATATGTGTTAACTTACCCCAGCTGATATTTCCCTCATTATTTGGGGATCTGTCAGACTTGTGAATTTCAACTACTCGGCAGAGGAAAAAGAGATTATCTGTCCCATTCTATTGAGGACCTCGGTGGTGGTGCTGTTGGCCGTGGGAATTTAATTATCTGGTGATGTACTGGTCATTTCTCTGGGGCCCCGGTGGGCAGCCACCTGTGTCCTTGGATGACGGAAGTATCCCTGGAGGCTGCCTGTCAGTTTCAGGAAGTGACTGTGTTTCTGGCTGCCCGCCTTTCTTGGTAGCTGAGCCTGGCTTGTTTGATTCGAGAGGTTCCTTCTTGGTGTACTGGTTTACTGGTATACCAGGTAAGGTAGTGGGTGGTTTCTACGCAGCACCAACGGAGGGAGATATACGGTTTCTTTTTATGTTTCTCTGAACTGTCATATTCTAACCCCCCCCTCCTTTCATAATAATAAAAAAAAGATAACCTAATCATGGACAGTCATAGTCATGTTTTGCCTCCCAGGTCCTTCACCCCAGCAGGCCCTGGACTTTCCTTTGAACCCGGTACGGCTTTAGGGCAACAGTTCATTGCCTGACTCCAGCGCCGCCATTCCGGCTGAGCTTTTTTATGCGTTTGACCTTCGCTCTATTTTGACCATGCTCCCGGCTTCTATCCCCCACAGCTACTCGTCAGTTTTCGGATAGTTCACACGTCACTGGATGGATTGGTTCTAGGCCATCGTCCGAACGACCTCAAGCATTTGATAATCCTAACGCCATTACTGACACTCTTCCTTTCTCCTTCCTTAAGTTAGACATATGCTATCTAGAAACGTCTTCTCCTCCAAACTGCATTTCAAAGACAATCTTAGAGGATATTCTTTTCTATTCAGCCATCGACGTCTACTGATTGCCTCACTGACCATGGCTTTAGCAAAGTTCTCATGCGGCATGTTAGTCAAAAATATCCTTCAATGCCCTCACGAGTGGGATGCGCATTATCTTGGTGAAGGATGCTGAGCAAGCTGACATGTTTCCTCTTTCCCTCTATTGACGATACCATTATCATAATATAAAAATATTCTTTTCTTACTTCTTGTAGTGGTACTATCCTTATTCCGCGTACTGTAGCCCAGCAGTTTATGCAGTGTGACCCAAACATTTAGAAGCAACTTGAGCTCCTTGGATGACGGAACTTATGTCCACCCTGCCCGAGGTCGGAGGCATTATCCAAGCATTATTGTCAAGCTAACCTTTGACTGCCGGGAGCTTTCAACCTCAGTTTATATAGCATATAGTAACACAGCACTTGCAAGTGCGGGAACTGCTCTACTCTTCTCCACAGTGCAGACAGTGCTGGCGCTTTGGCCATCCGGCTAAATATAGTAGATCCCCAACAGAATGCTCGGTCTATGGTGCAGGTGACCATAATCAATCTTGCTTCATATGTGGAAAGGCTCACCCTGCCCATTCCCGCCATTGTCGCTTTTCTTTACGAGAACACGAAATCCGTTGTCTCAAGGAAAAGGAGGGCATTTTTTTTATGCTATGGCAGTAATTTCGACCACGTATCCAAGAAAGACTTCAATGGCTCCCTACTCCTGCACCCTCAGGTTCCTGTTGTACTATTGCCACAGTTATCGCCTCTGTCATTCCTGACAATAATCCAAGGTCAGTTACTAGGATCGGCAAGTGTTTACTCAGCAAAGTTGCATTCGGTTCTCTCACATTACGTCAATGTCTGCCTAATCCTTAACATCTGTTTCGCACTCCCACTGTGTATTAGAGGCTATCAAAAATTCGACTCTCCTCATCCCATCGTTCTTCGTAAACAACTTTAGCTTTGCCACATTTCTAAAGAAAAATACGTCGTTTTTTTGCTGGAACACTAGACACATCGATGTTCGGGGCAACGAACAGTTAGACTCAGCCACTTGGCCAGCGTTTCATGACCTTTCAATTTTACATTGGGATATTCCTTTCTTGAACTGATCTCTCGATGCCTTCGATAACTCTGGCAGCAACTTGGACCACAGTAAATTATTTTTTTGAAACCACTTTGAAGATTCTGGTTATCTTCTCACACCACTGTCATATTTGGGAGACTGCACCACTCAGGTTACATTGTCAGTTCACCATATCTTAATAGATTATCTAGTCTGTCAGCGAGCACGCAGAATTCTTTTCCGACTTTTCCACCACCTCAACAAACTCGAACTGACCTCCTCACCGAAAGTCTCACCTTCGATGTACACTCTCTTTGACTTTGTAACGGAAAGGAAATATAAACACATATGCAGTATAATGTGATCCTTTATTGACTACGTTTTGCCCACACAGTGGGCTTTTTCAAGACACAAACGTAGTCAATAAAGGATCACATTATACTGCATATGTGTTTATATTTCCATTGTGTCGGTATTTTATACCATTTATTTCCATTGACTTTGTAACGAAAACTAACCTATTGTTGCAACTTTGATATAGATTTTACTCTTGCACTGTTTACTATACCCACTAACTTCTACCCTTACTACTTCTTACACATTTCTCCTCTTGCTCATCACTGCCAAAAGCTTTGTATGACCATATCAGGTGAGCACTTACTTAAATTATTATTATTATTATTATTATTATTATTATTATTATTAAAGTATTCTTTAATAATAAATTGTATGTGCCTTAATATTCTACATTCAAGCAATTCAGGATCGACTTTATGCTAAAATTTTGCATTGAAAGTGATCAGGTTAGGTTGAAAATCTAAATATTTTCGAAATCATAAACAGAAAGAGTTTTAAAATAATGTCAATCAACATTGTGCAACCAAAAAAAATGCTCTCTGTTCTCAAATAAAATATTTGAATGCCGTGTGGCCCAAAACCTGCGGTTATTTGTAATAGCTTTTATGGTAAATGAGTTACAGAAAAATTAAACGAACCTACATTGATATATATTTATGGAATCAGAGCTTTCCGGATGCTGGCATTAAAACATCTGACACTGACAACACAACACAAGCGAAGAATATATTTTTCTTAAGGTTTATTCTAAAAGTATAGACATTCTGATAGTATTTTAATAATCGATTTCTCTCTCTCTCTCTCTCTCTCTCTCTCTCTCTCTCTCTCTTCTCTCTCTCTCTCTCTCTCTCTCGCTCTCTCACACCATTGGGAGGACAGAGCATTTTCCATATGACAGTAAAAGCGATACTGTGACACTTTGGGCAGGACTTCCTGTGAGGCCGCTGACAGACTTTGATTTGACACCTGCACAACTTTTCGACATCTGACTGACAGCCAACAGCCGGATATTAAACGAGTGGTGGTACGAGTCTGCACAAATATTAATAGGAGGTATCTTGGTATTCCTGCCACAGTGGTGACTTACAAGCATCACCAGCACTGCTATATTTCCTCCACTAGTGACATCACTGCAACCACCACTATCACCACAACCATTAATACCATTACCATCACCACTACTATAAAAACTGTTACCACTAATACTGCTACCACCACCGCGTACACCAATACAATTACTACCGCTACTGGGTACGTGTCTATTATATGGTTACTGATGAATTAAGTTCCATCAGTAATCTTTTCACTTCGTTATTCGTCTTTCAGTTTAATAATTCCATCCTGCTTCTCCTCCCTTCAGTATCTGGTACTGGTTCTTGAACATTAATAAACACACTGTTGAATCTTCCACAGAGCTCACTGCATACCTTTCTCATTTCCCGAGCGTCCACTTAATTTTCTTAGTATCACCACATGTTACAAAAATGCGTCATATACTAAGTGAAGGTACCTCGAGAGAATACCAAAAAAGCCAACTTATTGATCCACCTGGAGTATCTCGCCTGATTTTGGTTTCGTAACAGTTTGTAAGATTATTTCTGTTCATTTATCCTGTAAATTATGTGGCCTCTCAATAGCGTTTTTTTTTTTGGATTTCAATTGGATGAATACCAACTAAATGATAGTTGAGATCTTTAATGGCAGAGATGTCTAGGTGTTAAATAAGGAGATAAACTCCTACACACATTTTGGAGTATGACTTGGTATACTTATATATCATAGTTATTCCGTACACAATAAGATACTGTATTACTCTTAACATGTACCGTATGGAACGTTGCTATGATGAGATGTACTCAAGTACAAGAGTAATGATGTGCATGTGTGTGTGTGTGTGTGTGTGTGTGTGTGTGTTTCTGTAAGTAATAATATATGCTCAGATTGACTTTACTTCGATTTAAAATGTGACTGACAACAACAAGCCCCTAAATTATCTAACTTCTCAACCATCAAGGCAAGCAAACAGCTTGCCTGAACAATATGACGACCCATTCGCCAAAGAGCAATAATGTTCGAAGCAGCAGTTAACAGCACAGCATCAGGCGAGGAATCAAGGAGACCAAAACGATCCTAAGTGTGGACCTTCAACAGATCCTTCACAAACGCGATGTAACTCCCATAATACTGAAACTAAGTTCAGCCATTCCAATTTCCAGACTATGCCAGTGCGTAGATGCCAGAACGAATGTAGATCGAGAGCTGAACTCGGGATCAAACTTAGAGTGACTCCACGACACACAAACTCTGAAAACGTCAAATATCACTAAGTCTAATGTTCTATGAACAAAGTTGCACAGAGCAACGAGATGTATGTCCCGGCTCACCAACAGAGACATAATCTACCAAAAAACAGTCTAAATGACACAAGCTGAGAAGAATACCAATTTCCCAGACAAAGCAACAGAAAGGATGTTGCCTCCATGAGCAACAGCTAGAGAGGGAAAGGCAAGGCTTGCAGATACGATGTCAGGTGACTTGTAGCAGCTTACCCCTGACACCAAGTGTGAAACAAGCTGGCAGATAGCAGCATTGGCAGCCAATCAAAACTCTTCAACAGCGAGCATAATGAGAGGTGTAGTTGTTACATCCTACCTATGTACATAGCTAATATAATAAATCAAATAATATAAAGCATGAAATTTTCATTTTAGTTATTAATATAAACAGCAATATAAAATTATATGAATAAACAGTATATACAATATTTACTGAGTTCTTTCTCTGAGGTCACAGTACCACATTATCCATTATTATTCTGATGTAACTGTGAAGTACCTGTGGCTGTCTACCCTTTGATCATTTTATTAATTTCAATTTTTTTTTTCAGTTTCTCACACGAGGGTAATAATTATGGATACATCTACAGGCTTCACTGTTCTCTTGCATAAATTTCAGTTATTTAATATTTTCCTGCGTTTATATTTATGGATTTTGTCTCCTTACATTAATGGTTGAATTATTATCGATTCTCGTACTGTTTCTTTGCTATTTTGTGCTTTTTTTTTTGTCATTTCCTTATATTTTAAAGCTCATTTGTCCAAAAAAAAAAATCCTACATTTTAGAACTGTATATGAGAACTGATGTTTGTCCAGAGTTGATTCGTAAGTTAAAAGGTGAGTGGTAGAGATAAATGCCTGAAAACAGGTATGTATGTGTCATAGTTGTAGATACAGTGTATCTTTAAACTAACACTAAGCCAGTGTTAGAGATGGTCTATATTGTGCCGCAGAACTGGTCTGTGAGTGCGGACTGGAGAGATTTTGTACCTTTTGACCTGTGGGAGGAAGTGTTGGAAAGATATTGTGCCTTATAACCGATTTTTGACTGAGAGATAGTGTCTTAAAACCTGTTTCTTTATGCACTCTTGGAAATATATTTCTCCTATAAATCGATTCCTTACCTTGCGTTGAGAGACACTGCCTTTAAAATGGTCATTGAGTTGTTCAGATGTGGAAGATTGAGACACTTATGCAACATATGAGGATCTTTATTAAGGAAACGTTTCGCCACACAGTGGCTTCTTTAGTCCAGTACAAAGCAGAGAGGGGTAAGGAGAGGAGGAGTTTTAGGTAATCAGTCCCTCAGCCTGGAAACTTTTCACCACTGTGTGGCGAAACGTTTCCTTAATAAAGATTCCCATATGTCGCATAAGTGTCCCAATCTTCAACTTGTCGGTTGTTAAACCATTTATCACTCGTTCAGATGTACAGATCTCTACTGACCTCGCAACAACAGCGTGATGGTATGACCTCTCGTATGAAGAGATTCCTCTGGCTGCCGGCTCTCTTAAGTATCCCAGGTGAATGGACGATGACTCCGGGGTGTGTATCACCCTGAAGAAGGTGGACACAAGTCAGGGTAATTGAACACACGATATGCTGTACTGCTGGTCCAGATGGAAGGTATCACAGGTCCAGTAGAAGAGAGAGAGAGAGAGAGAGAGAGAGAGCACATTTAACATACACTGAGATGAATCAAGCCCTTAGAGCCTTGAAAGTGAGTTAGTTAACCTTAAATTAACAGCCAGTTAATGTTTATATAAACTTACCGGCAACAGTTAGACTACATTAACAATCAAGGAAATTTTTAGATGTAGAGAAGAGAGATTGTGTATACGCTCGCTATCAGATACTCAATTAGGAGATACGCACATCTCTGTGTATATTTAATGGGATAAAGATTTCTATGTATATACACTGAGATATGTACACAGCTCTGTGTATATATACTGAGATATGTACACATACCTGTGGGTATACTGTGAGAAATACACACCGTTATGCATATACACTGATACACCACACACTTCTGTGTGTGGTGTATTAGTGTATATGCACATACCTCTGTGTATATACTGATACACACCTCTATAACTATACTGAGACACACACCTCGGTGCATATACTCCAACAGAAACATAAAAATGTGTATAACTGTATATACCTTGAGGTATATAAGCGCCTCTACGTACAAACACAGACGGATACATACATCTCTGCGTGTATACAATGAGATATCCACATAAATTTATGCTCACAAAGTGAGATGCTCACAATACACCGAGAAACATACCTCATTGTATATATACACTGAGTCAATTATTCCTGACACTACTAGTAAACTAGTAAAATACTAACCTGCTACAGACCCCACAAAGCGCTATTATACACTAGTATTTACTTTGAAATTGAAGTTTTTTTATAACTTCATAAAAAACATTTTTAGCTGTGAAATATTTTATATATTTATTTTAACTATAATTTTTTTTTGTGGATTTATTTGGCCTGAAAATGGCAACTGAAGTTAGTCGAGACATCTCAAAAAATACTCGTAACTATCCCACTGTTTGGAGAGGTATGTTCAGTGGACGCTTGGTTAAGTATTGTACTGTTATGAAACAGAGGGTTGAAACATTACCCGAAGACTCTTTTCCTGTGGGTTGTTTATTGTTCCAGCGACGATACTGTAGCTTTTGTTCATAATAAATTGTTGCAGTCACGATATTGTGACTTCCTCAGAATTGTTCCAATGTAAAATGAATACCTACTGTACTGAAAGGCTGATGTAGGAGACCTACTGTATTGAAGAGCTGGTGTTGGAGACCTACTGTATTGAAGAGCTTGTGTTGGAGACCTACTGTATTGAAGAGCTGGTGTTGGAGACCTACTGTATTAACCAGCTGGTGCTTGTGAGTTATCCACATACCCGCCCAGGCTGTGGATGTCCAGCTGGTGTAGGTCACGCTGCAGATGGTTGTTCCCCAGCAGCGTGTCCTGCTGTGCCCCCTGGCTGGCCTTCCTCTCCATCTCTGTTAGACCAGACAACAACAACTCTCGTTAACTGCGCTTCACTTCCTCAGAACTCTCAAGTGGTCCCATTTCTCCTTACAAAGAAAGCATTATTCTTTCATTATATTTATACAAGGGGCTAAACACGTATGGGTCATTTAACGCAACTGATGATGCAGGCTCGATCCTCCTGTCGGCAGTTACTATACGGAAATACTACCAGATGATGTCCCACATCAGAGTTTTGTTTTACAAGTGATATGAGAGGCATTCAGGTTTGAACCAGGGAAGGGGAAAATGTATCCAGTCCCTTGGTTGAAGAGCTTCTCATCCCTGGCGGGTCTCACTGGTAGAGCACAGGGCTCACAAGTGAAGGGATCTGGGTATGATTTCTCGGTGGAGTGACGTGTGGGGGGGGGAGTGTCACCTGACATCTGTTGCCAATGTTCACCTGGGAGTAGTCAGCAAGCCATCAGTCGACTGAGTGCTGCGTCCAAAGGGATACCAGTATACTTTAGGTAGGGCATCATCTTAGAGCGCGGACCGTAAGCCAAAGGGATGACAGTTTACTTTAAGTCGGACTGTATCCCAAAGAGATGGTAGTTTACGTAGGACTGTATCCCAAAGGGATGGCAGTTTACCTTAGACAGCGCCTCCTGACTCACGCACTCGGTAACACACGAAAGTTTTTAATTACGTAGAAGACAGTTCTCAACAGACAGCCTCAGTGTGGCCTTTCAAGTCAACTATTAATTTCCCCCATGTACATCCATTGTACAAAACTGAAAGACATGGTGATATACCTGAATCAGGGGTTGGATCCTTAAGGCTGATAGTTAACATTGGATAGCTGTGGGCATGTATGGTTACTGTGTATGGTAGCTGTGGGCATGTATGGTTACTGTGTATGGTAGCTGTGGGCATGTATGGTTACTGTGTATGGTAGCTGTGGGCATGTATGGTTGCTGTGTATGGTAGCTTTGGGCATGTATGGTTACTGTGTATGGTAGCTGTGGGCATGTATGGTTACTGTGTATGGTAGCTGTGGGCATGTATGGTTACTGTGTATGGTAGCTGTGGGCACGTATGGTTACTGTGTACGGTAGCTTTGGGCGTGTATGGTTACTGTGTATGGTAGCTGTGGGCACGTATGGTTACTGTGTATGGTAGCTGTGTATGGTTGCTGTGTATGGTAGCCTTGGGCATGTATGGTTACTGTGTATGGTAGCTGTGGGCATGTATGGTTACTGTGTATGGTAGCTGTGGGCATGTATGGTTACTGTGTATGGTAGCTGTGGGCACGTATGGTTACTGTGTACGGTAGCTGTGGGCGTGTATGGTTACTGTGTATGGTAGCTGTGGGCACGTATGGTTACTGTGTATGGTAGCTGTGGGCATGTATGTTTACTCTGTATAGTAGCTGTGGGCATTCATGGTTACTGTGGTCGTGTATGGTAGCTAGGTATGGTAGCTGGGCATGGTAGATGTGTATAGTAGCTAGGTATGATAGCTGAGTATGGTAGCTGTGGTCGAGTATGGTTGCTGTGTACAGAAGCCATGCATGGTAGCTGTGGTATATAAAACAGGTGTGTATAGTTGCTATGTTTACTCTATATGGAGGAGTGTATGATGTGTGTGGTAGCCGTAGGAGAGTATGATAGCCGTGTGTGGTAGATGTGTATGGCTGCTGTGGTTGACGGTGACCATACCTTCCAGCAGTGTAACATTGAGAGCCTGACAGGGTGGTAACTCAGGTTTGGGTTCACACAACGACCTGGCCACCTCTGTTAGCTGTCTCAGCAGCAGCACCTCAGTTCCAGCGCTCGATGGCACCTGCAAAGCCCAAGAGTTGGAATATAACATTCGCCAGGATAGCTAAGTGATTCTCTCTCTCTCTCTCTCTTTCTCTTTCTCTCTTTTTTCTTTCTTTTTCTCTTTCTTTCACACACACACACACACACACACACACACACACACACACACACACACAACACATGTGGACATGTGGTCCAGTAACTGGCTTCTCGAATTCAATCCAGCCAAATGCAAAGTCATGAAGATTGGGGAGGGGCAAAGAAGACCGCAGACAGAGTATAGGCTAGGTGGACAAAGACTACAGACCTCACTCAGGGAGAAAGACCTTGGGGTGACCATAACACCGAACACATCACCGGAGGCACACATCAACCAAATAACCGCTGCAGCATACGGGCGCCTGGCAAACCTGAGAATAGCGTTCCGATACCTTAATAAGGAATCGTTCAAGACACTGTACACTGTGTATGTTAGGCCCATACTGGAGTATGCAGCACCATCTGGAACCCACACCTGGTCAAGCACGTCAAGAAGTTAGAGAAAGTACAAAGGTTTGCAACAAGGCTAGTCCCAGAGCTCAAGGGAATGTCGTACGAGGAAAGGTTAAGGGAAATCGGACTGACGACACTGGAGGACAGAAGGGTCAGGGGAGACATGATAACGACATACAAGATACTGCGGGGAATAGACAAGGTGGACAGAGATAGGATGTTCCAGAGAGGGGACACAGGGACAAGGGGTCACAACTGGAAGCTGAAGACTCAGACGATTCACAGGGACGTTAGGAAGTATTTCTTCAGTCATAGAGTTGTCAGCAAGTGGAATAGCCTAGCAAGTGAAGTAGTGGAGGCAGGAACCATACATAGTTTTAAGAAGAGGTATGACAAAGCTCAGGAAGCAGAGAGAGAGAGGATCCAGTAGCGATCAGTGAAGAGGCGGGGCCAGGAGCTGAGTCTCGACCCCTGCAACCACAATTAGGTGAGTACAATTAGGTGAGTACAATTAGGTGAGTACAATTAGGTGAGTACACACACACACACACACCGAGCACATCAACCAAATAACTGCTGAAGTATAGGGGCGCCTGGCAAACCTAAGAATAGCGTTTTGAATCTTAAGAATCGTTCAAGACACTGTACACTGTGTACGTCAGGCCCACATTGGAGTATGCAGTACCAGTATGAAACCCGCACCAGATTATCCACATCAAGAAATTAGAGAAAATGCAAAGGGGTGTCACTAGCACGTTAAGAGACCATACAATAAGTGTCAGGGGCCCGAGACTGTTCAACTGCCTCCCAGCACACATAAGGGGGATTACCAACAGACCCCTGGCAGTCTTCAAGCTGGCACTGGACAAGCACCTAAAGTCAGTTCCTGATCAGCCGGGCTGTGGCTCGTACGTTGGTTTGCGTGCAGCCAGCAGCAACAGCCTGGTTGATCAGGCGCTGATCCACCAGGAGGCCTGGTCACAGACCGGGCCGCGGGGGCGTTGACCCCCGAAACTCTCTCCAGGTAAACTCCAGGTAAACAAGACTAGTCCCGAAGCTAATGGGTATGAATTGACAGAGTGGCTAGGGATAGGATGTTTAAGAGGTGGGACACAGCAACAAGGAGTCACAGCCTGAAGTTGAAAAATCAGATGAGTCACAGGGATGTTAGGAAGTATTACTTCAGTCATAGAGTTGTCAAGAAGTGGAACAATCTGGAGAGTGATGTAGTGGAGACAGGATCAATATATTCCTTGAAGAAGAGGTGCGATGAAGCTCATGGAGCAGGGAAAGAGTGGACCTACCAACGACCAGCGAAGAGGCGGGGCCAGGAGCTATGAATCGACCCCTGCAACCACAAATAGGTGAGCGCGCGCGCACACACGCACACACACACGCACACACACACAGGAGCTTGGAGCCAGGAGCTTGGACTCGACCCCTGCAACCTCAACTAGGTGAGTACACACACACGCACACACACTTCCATATGTGTTACTAATTATCTGTATTTAGCTAAGTGAGTAAAGCTAATAAATTACGATATGAATTAATACTTGTTTATGGGCCCATAAGAGTGTATCCTTACTTCAGTGTCACCACGAATGAGAAGTGGGCGAGAGATGGGTTGTACTGCAGCAGTATCAGCAGTCACTGTTATCACCGCCAGCACCACAGTGTACACACACCCACGCTGCCTCCACATCCTCTCTCTGCTTGTCTGTCAGTGTCAACAAGAGGATTAATAGTTTACCAAGTGCTTGAGTGCGTTGGAAGGAACTTAACCGTGTTTTAGTGTGTGTTGGAAGGGTGTTAACCACAGCTGGAAAATGGGGATTATTGGTTTACATGTGATAACCGGGGAATATCTGTCAAATCGGCTTCAAACTATCATTGGTGGTGTATTTTGCTCAGTGTTGGATATGCAATACTATTAAGCTTTCAAAGTTCTATTTTCCTAATTCTACCAGACAACCTGGGACATTCGTTTCTATGTGATACCTTGTGAATGCCTCTTCTGATCGACATCAAACCTTCAATACTGATGTGTCTTACCTAGCAGTGGTGTTAATTTTATCATTTTTCTTCAACTCTCTTAGAAGAGTTGCTCCAGCAGACATCCTGCTGACAGTTTCTTAAACAGTAACGAAGAAATTCTTACTGTATGAGAATGTAAAACTTAATAAATGACTCGTTGTAAATGTTTATAGTAGACAAGTTTATTCTGGTGCTCCCAGTAAACAATTAAAAACATTTACACTACGAATTTTATGAGAAACAATTCTCCTTTAACAATTTTCTTCGTGAATTTGATTTGTTTAAAAGTTTTGTTTTATAAATGATCTAATTTAGGTTTTGTGTGTGTGAAAAATGGTGTGAGACACTTGTGTAGCATTTGGGAATCTTTATTTTGGAAACGTTTCGCCATGCAGTGGCTTCTTCAGTCTAATGCAGAGAAAGGTGGAAGATAAGTTTGAGGTAATCACTCCCTCAACCTGGAGCCGATGTGTTTAGTCTATCAGTCTTGACAAAAGTGCTCCATATTCTCGTAGGTATTTTTTTTGTTAACACATCGGCCGATTCCCACCAAGGCAGGGTGGCCGGGAAAAGAAAAACTTTCACCATCATTCACTCCATCACTGTCTTGCCAGAAGGGTACTTTACACTACAGTTATAAAACTGCAATATTAACACCCTTCCTTCAGAGTGCAGACACTGTACTTCCCATCTCTAGGACTCAAGTCCGGTCTGCCGGTTTCCCTGAATCCCTTCATGAATGTTACTTTCCTCACACTCCAACAGCACGTCAAGTATTAAAAACCATTTGTCTCCATTCACTCCTACCAAATACGCCCACGCATGCTTGCTGGAAGTCCAAACCCCTCGCACACAAAACCTCCTTTATCCCCTCCCTCCACCCTTTCCTAGGCCGATCTCTACCCCGCCTTCCCTCCGCTACAGATTTATACACTCTCGAAGTCATTCTGCTTCGTTCCTCTTTACATGTCCGAACCACCTCAACAACCCTTCCTCAGCCCTCTGGACAACAGTTTTGGGAATCCCACACATCCTTCTAATTTCCAAACTATGAATTCCCTGCATTATATTCACACCACACATTGCCCTCAGACATGACATCTCCACTGCCTCCAACCTTCTCCTCGCTGCAACATTCATCACCCATGCTTCACACCCATATAGGAGCATTGGTAAAACTATACTCTCATACATCCCCCTCTTTGCTTCCAAGGACAAAGTTCTTTGTCTCCACAGACTCCTAAGTGCACCGCTCACCCTTTTCCCCTCATCAATTCTATGATTCACCTCGTCTTTCATCGACCCATCTGCTGACACGTCCACTCCCAAATATCTGAATACATTCACCTCCTCCATACTCTCTCCCTCCAATCTGATATCCAATCTTTCATCACCTAATCTTTTTGTTATCCTCATAACCTTACTCGTTCCTGTATTCACTTTTAATTTTCTTCTTTTACACACCCTACCAAAGTCATCCACCAACCTCTTCTTCTCTTCTTCTCGTAGATGTCGCTTATATAGTGCTGACAGATGAGGTGGATCATTGGTAGGCTGAGTCACCAGCACAAGCATCTCATTTATTAACGTGTCTTTTTTTTTTTTTTTTTTTTTTTTGCAACTATTTATACACATCCTGTCAAACATAGCAACATCTTGGCTTCTTGATGCAAGGATCTCTCAAAACTTGTCTAACCTATAGACACGACCTACGTTCACGAGTGGTCTCCACTGGTGACTCCTCCTATCACTGCTAAACCTCATCTGGTATCAGTATATAAGCCCCATCTACCCAAATGTTATACTTGTATCAAGATTGATGGACTGGACACATCGACTCTAGGCTAAGGGACTGATTTCCTCTTACGTCTCATCTTTCAACTTTCTCTTCATTAGACTGATGAAGCCACTGTGTGGCGAAACGTTTCCAGAATAAAGATTCCCATATGTTGCACTAGTGTCTCGTTTATCAACTTGTCGGTTTTCTAAATGATTTATGCACATATGTACGGTGTACTGTGTTATGTATATATGTTCTCAGTGTTAGACTGGGTTGGGCTCTGTTTCCTGGCCGTCTTAAGGGTGCTGTCCGACAGCTTCTGGGCCTTATGAGGGAGTTAAACCACAGGTGTTAGACTCCTTGAGTGAGTTAATCTAAAGTTCCTCCCCATCTTGAGAGGGTTAAGTTATTCATCCTAAGTTTCCTTAGTGTCTTGAGGTATTGTTCATGTACTATGAGGTTTTTGCCTATACTGAAGTAAAGAAGGCTAAAGAAATGGAATACAAGGGTGTCCCGTAGCTCGATCGCTAGCGCACTCACCTTACACACCGAGGTCCGGAGTTCGAATCTCCGGTACGGCTGGAAAACATTAGGGACGTGTTTCCATAAGACACCTGCTGTTCCTGTTCAACCATCAGTATAAAATGGGTACCTGGGTGTTAGTCGACTAGTGTGGGTCGCATCCTGGGACAAAACTGACCTAATTTGCTCGAAATACTCAGTATAGCAAGTAACTTTCTATATAGTATGTCACTGATGTCAGCTAGGCCTGCATACCTTGTACATGTACTTGTAGAAATAAAGATATTATATTATATTATTATAATATACAAGGATACCTTACTCTGATCACGCAGCAACTGAAACATCTCTAATTTAATTAACACTTGCAGTGTTAAAGTAAGATAGAGTAATGGGATACAAGGGATACCTTTCTCTGATCGCGCAGTGACTGAAACACCTCTACGTTAACTCTTGTAGTATTCTTCTGGTACAAGCATCTCATGAAAGTAGTTTGGTGGGTTGGGCATTAGAGATACAGTGAGATAAAACTCCAGCTGTGAAGGGTTCATGCACCCAAGCTGGTAGGTTCATTGGGTTTAAATTGTATCAGCTGCTCGAGGGGTATAAGGATGCATGTAATCTTTACACCATCTGTCAAAACTAATCCCTAAAACAGGAGATTAGACCCACCTCAGTGTATACACACTGGGAATTTTCTTTTATTCTTAATTTAGGTATTAAAGTATAATTGATTGGTGGCGTACATGTGGAAAAGGTTATTCACATAATGAATTTATTGCAAATTATATATTACAGAAGCCAGACACAGGTATGGCAGAATTGTAGATAGTGGAGTCAGAGTACACCTGTGGATTCCTTCACTCACTGGTCATCGGGTGCATGACAGAACAGCTAAAGTGACAAATGCATATGCCTTCAAGGAGGAATTGAATCACAATTTTGGTCTTTCAACTATTACGAGAACTTCAGATGGACTCCATTGACTAGAGACTGAGGAAGACTGGCGCTAGTAAGTCCATCTGTCATAGTTCTGTCATGCAGGAGGAGCCGCTTGGCTATGGTGTAGCCAAGAAGTAAGGCAGACTCTTGGATGTCACTACTGCTTGGCTTTGAATGGGTTACAGGCACCTCTGGGAGTTTGCACTACCAGCTGGTATAGATAAGGCTAAATATAAACTTTGTCACTACCTGCGTCATCAAGTGCTGGAATGCGTAAGAATTTATAATTTAGGAGACAACTCATTCACACATGTTCAAGAAATATGTAATATTATATAGGCAGTGACGTATTACCAGGCATTCGACAAAAATACCCTGACTCTATCGTTTATAAATAACTCACAACTACTCCAACTCGCCTAAATTCAACCATACTGTGCTAAAATACTGGGTATTATAAACAGCTCGTAACCACATGTAAACAACATTCGAATTTTTCTTGTGGTTGAATTCATATCTGCATAAGCAAGTCATTACGATTGTAACTAGATCATAAACTTGTAAATAGTTCATTACCACTGTAAGTAAAAAAATCTGCAATTTTGCTAATTACATGCAATTTACTCACGTATCTCCTGCAGTTTAAACTGTTTTCTGCTTCTCTCTATCCATGGAATCAAACTCTTCCATCCATCCATCATGTTTAAGCAGCTCATTTACGTTACCTTCCTGCATAGCGTCATATACCTTACCTACCAATTTCAAAATTTCCTGCACCTGACTAGTGTGGGACAGCGTATAACATAATTCATCACACCAGACCATAATCTTTCTCAGCCTTCATTAACTGTTGATTGGTGCGCTTCATCCAGTAACAGTTTTACAAGTGTTAGTGAATCAGCAGTGTTAATAATAGTATGTCAGAACTCGGGCACACAAGTGTCCCAGTTCTCATCCATTGTTATGTAAAGTTTGTTCATTACCGTGCATGTAATATTTAAATGTATTGGTAACACCTCAAACCAATGGCTGTATCAGTGGTTTTGTATTCCTTGGATGACGTTCAACTGCATTTTTGGATTCAGAGACTTAGGGATAACAAGTTAGCTCTGGGGATCACCAAGAACCAGGAAACATTGAATTCAAGGATCTTTCTGGACAAGTATACACATCTTCTCTGCAAGAATAAATTTGTACTGGTACTGATTAACAAATTTGGCTTCACTCATCCATGGTGTCATGTTAGAATTCCAACTGACACTCAAAGCAGTTTTGAATTGTGACTTTAAACCATGAGGAGTGTAAACTAATAAGTCCCAGTGGCTTGCACCTAAGTCCACTGATGTTTAAGCATACAGACGCAGGCTGAAGGAATCCTTGGTTGCCTTGAACCCGGATGCAAATTTTTATTGCTTTCTTTTATAGGTTCTTGATGGTATTGTCTACCAAAACAACCTTGTCTCATGAGCATTAAATACTTGATTGCCGGTTTTACCCTTCCCTAAAATAATTTCCCCAAACATGGCGGGGAAATTCTCACTGGCCACGAGATCTGTTGATACACTCTTGCCACTGAATTTAATAATGTGCAGCCGATTACGCATGCATAGGGAAAGTGTGACCGCTGCTTGGATAAATACAATCACATGTTGCCGAATTAGGGCTATCGCATCTCATTATCCAAGGATCTACTGTAGTTCATTACTGTAATGTACTTGCTGTCATCACACCGAAGAGGGGGAATCACTCCCTATATTAATTATGTACCTCTGTGAGCTTTTGACTACTCCCACAGGATGGGTATGGGGTGCATAATTAACTACTTCTCATTGATATACTGAACTTACAGTAAACTCCCCAAGTGTTATGAGATAATTATTTCTGGAGTTAGAATGAAATGAAGTGCAGATGTTTACCTCGGAGGTACAGCTGTAGGACGCAGCTGTAGTGTAGGACACAGCTGTAGCAGTCACCGTAAGATTTTTCACGTTGAAGATGATAGGCAGGTCACAGTAACCCTCGAGTAGTCGAAATGATTTAAATCTGATAAAGCAACCAATCGCTGCCAACCAATTCACTTCCATTTCACTAAAAACACGAACCTAGACGAGGAACCCTGTGACGACGTTTCCGTCCGTCTTGAACCATTGTCAAGTCGTAACTTGTGACCTGACAGTGGTCCCAGGAAGGACCGAAAGGTTGTCACGAAGTTCCTCTCCCAAGTGCGGATTTTTGATGAATCGTTCCAACCATGTTATTGTGACTTTAAATTCTTTTCAACTCACCTGTGGCTAATAAATAGCTAAGAGCCGCGTTCAGGATGGTGGTGGTGATACACAGTGCGGGAGCGAGCGCAGTGATGTGCGGTAATGCACTGTGTGGAAGTAAGAACAGTAATGTGTGAATTTGTACTGTGTGTGTGTGTGTGTGTGTGTGTGTGGGAGGGGACAGATAGGGCCTCACAGGGTCATATTCTCTCTAGGCTGTTGGGATTCCCAATAGATAGTTACTGGCAATGATGCGACCTTGACGGACTGGGTTTTCCGCTTGTGTGTACGAAGAACGAGTGCTGCCGCATGACCTCAGTGATTGTACGTGACACTAGTGCATGTACGTGACATTACTGCATGTACGTGATACTAGGGCCTGCATATGACACTGGTGCATGTACGTGACATCACTGCATGAACGTGAGACTAGGGCCTGCACGTGACACTAGTGCCTGTACGTGACACTAATGTCTGTACGTGACACTAGTGCCTCTACGTGACACTAGGGCCTGCACGTGACACTAATGCCTTTTCATGACACTAATGCCTGTACATGATACTTGGCTCCTCATGACACTAGTGCCTCTACATATCACTAGTACCTGTGCATGACACTAGTACCTGTGCATGACACTAGTACCTGTGCATGACACTAGTACCTGTGCAATGCATATCTGTGAATTATTTACCGCTTTATATCTAGTAATGTTTAATGTTAGAAATATTATATACCCACGTCAAACCCGTCATAGTTGAGATGCTATCCTGACTTTCTCTTGTAATAACCAGCACATTTCTCTGTATTTAAATATTTTTAGATATATCTTTAAAATGTTGCCTGGATTTTTTTTTTAGGTATTCCCAAAGTGGGACCTTTTAGAGTTTACCTGATTTTTTTCTTTCTTTCTTCATTCTATTTTTGGATTTTATTTTGCTCTTAACTCGACGATCTCTCATCCAATAGGCTTCCATTTTTTAACATTTGTGTACGGTAACAGGACTTGTAGATGAATGGTTCAGAGAACCGACATGTTGATAAATTAGACACATGTGCAACTCTTGGGTATCTTGGGTATTCTATTCAAGATTGATGGACTGAACACATCGACTCAAGGTTGAGGGACTCATTACCTCATTCTCCTCCTGTTCTTCAAGTTTCTCCTACGTATGGACTGATGAAGCCACTGTGTGGCGAAACGTTTCCTCAATAAAGATACCCAAGAGTTGCACATGTGTCTAATTTATCAACGGTAACAGGACGAAATTCTAGGAATAATTAACATGTTCACGTGCCCTGTGAACACTGTTATTGAACACATTTGGATCACATTCAAAAATCCTCGGTGATGGAGCTTAATCGTTCATGTAAGATGCTAAAACATACGATGGTGGAGGCCGAGATCCCAGTGTGTTGGTGCAGAATTAATATTTTTCGCATTCAGTTTGAGATCTACACAACGTACTTTTGTTATTTTCTTTCCCCAAGGTTAGATCGTTGCATTTGTCTACCTTAAAGTGCGTCTGCCACTTCTCCGACTAACAGCATCAGCTTATCCAGGTCATCCTGTAGCTCTATAGTGTCCTCATCAGAATTTGTATGACGGGAAACTTGCTTATATTGCTGCTTATTCCCTTTGTTAATAGTGTATATTGTGACCCCTAGAGCACCCCTGCAACGCGTCCCCAGTATGATTTCTCCTCTTGTTTGCGAACACATCAACGCAGGGGAATAACACCCCATTGTAAAACCATACTGAGATTCACTGATCAACTTATAACTTCCAACGTGACTTTGGTCTGTGTCTGCAGTTATTAATTCCATTAACTTTTCTATCATAAATTTTTTTTGAAAGGGTTCTAAGAAGCAAGATCGCCAACCACCTAGATACCCATCAGTTACATAATCCAGGGTAACCTGGATTTAGAGCAGGTCGCTGCTGCCTGTCCCAGCTACTGGGAGATGCAACATTCTCCCAATGTAAAGCAGCGGCCCCACATGTACACAAAGAGACAACACAGTAAGTATCAGGGGCCCAAGACTGTTCAACTGCCTCCCAGCATACATAAGGGAAATTACCAATAGGCCCCTGGTTGTCTTCAAGAAGGCGCTGGACAGGCACTTAAAGTCAGCAGCTGACCAGCCTGGCTGTGATTTGTCAGTTTGCGTGCGGCTAGCAGTAACAGCCTGGTCGATCAGACCCTGATCCACCATGGGGCCTGATCTCAGACCGGGCCACGGGAGCGTTGACCCCCGAAACCCTCTCCAGTATACTCCAAGTATAATGTTAGGCTAATTCGTCTATAACTTGAAGCTAAGGATCGATCACCGGCTTTGTAAATGGGTATAACCTCCTGTGAGATACCCATTATTTGCGATTTGTTGAAGAGATTAGCTAATAGTTTGCTATATTCTTTTTTTCATTCCCTTAGAACCCTTGAAAACAGTTCAAAGTCCCTTGTTTTATAAGAACCCTCGTTTTATAAGAACCCTCGTTTTATAAGAACCCTCGTTTTATAAGAACCCTCGTTTTATAAGAACCCTCGTTTTATAAGAACCCTCGTTTTATAAAAACCCTCATTTTATAAGAACCCTTGTTTTATAAGAACCCTCATTTTATAAGAACCCTCGTTTTATAAGAACCCTCGTTTTATAAGAACCCTCGTTTTATAAGAACCCTCGTTTTATAAGAACCCTCGTTTTATAAGAACCCTCGTTTTATAAAAACCCTCATTTTATAAGAACCCTCATTTTATAAGAACCCTCATTTTATAAGAACCCTCATTTTATAAGAACCCTCGTTTTATAAGAACCCTCATTTTATAAGAACCCTCATTTTATAAGAACCCTCATTTTATAAGAACCCTCGTTTTATGAGAACCCTCGTTTTATAAGAACCCTCGTTTTATAAGAACCCTCGTTTTATAAAAACCCTCATTTTATAAGAACCCTCATTTTATAAGAACCCTCATTTTATAAGAACCCTCATTTTATAAGCACTCTCGTTTTATAAGAACCCTCATTTTATAAGAACCCTCGTTTTATAAGAACCCTCATTTTATAAGAACCCTCGTTTTATAAGAACCCTTGTTTTATAAGAACCCTCGTTTTATAAGAACCCTCGTTTTATAAGAACATTCGTTTTATAAGAACCCTCGTTTTATAAGAACATTCGTTTTATAAGAACCCTCGTTTTATAAGAACATTCGTTTTATAAGAACCCTCATTTTATAAGAACCCTCGTTTTATAAGAACCCTCGTTTTATAAGAACATTCGTTTTATAAGAACCCTCGTTTTATAAGAACCCTCGTTTTATAAGAACCCTCGTTTTATAAGAACCCTCGTTTTATAAGAACATTCGTTTTATAAGAACCCTCGTTTTATAAGAACCATATCACTAATTTCTCAGATCCTGCACAAAATATTTCTTCCCAGACTTATATAAATGTTAATGATTTCTGAGATTTCGGTTTTGTTCTCTTGTGTAAAAACAGAAACAGAAAGTGTTAATATTCATACTTCTTTGTCACAGTGACTTGACCTCAGCTACAGTGACTTGACCTCAGCTACAGTGACTTGACCTCAGCTACAGTGACTTGACCTCAGCTACAGTGACTTGACCTCAGCTACAGTGACTTGAGCTCAGCTACAGTGACTTGAGCTCAGCTACAGTGACTTGACCTCAGCCACAGTGACTTGACCTCAGCTACAGTGACTTGACCTCAGCTACAGTGACTTGACCTCAGCTACAGTGACTTGACCTCAGCCACAGTGACTTGACCTCAGCTACAGTGACTTGACCTCAGCTACAGTGACTTGACCTCAGCCACAGTGACTTGACCTCAGCTACAGTGACTTGACCTCAGCTACAGTGACTTGACCTCAGCTACAGTGACTTGAGCTCAGCTACAGTGACTTGACCTCAGCCACAGTGACTTGACCTCAGCTACAGTGACTTGACCTCAGCTACAGTGACTTGACCTCAGCTACAGTGACTTGACCTCAGCCACAGTGACTTGACCTCAGCTACAGTGACTTGACCTCAGCTACAGTGACTTGACCTCAGCCACAGTGACTTGACCTCAGCTACAGTGACTTGACCTCAGCCACAGTGACTTGACCTCAGCTACAGTGACTTGACCTCAGCTACAGTGACTTGACCTCAGCTACAGTGACTTGACCTCAGCTACAGTGACTTGACCTAAGCCACAGTGACTTGACCTCAGCTACAGTGACTTGACCTCAGCTACAGTGACTTGACCTCAGCTACAGTGACGACCTCAGCTACAGTGACTTAACCTCAGCCACAGTGACTTGACCTCAGCTACAGTGACTTGACCTCAGCCACAGTGACTTGACCTCAGCTACAGTGACTTGACCTCAGCTACAGTGACTTGACCTCAGCTACAGTGACGACCTCAGCTACAGTGACTTGACCTCAGCTACAGTGACTTGACCTCAGCTACAGTGACTTGACCTCAGCTACAGTGGCTTGACCTCATCTACAGTGACTTGACCTCAGCTACAGTGACTTGACCTCAGCTACAGTGACTTGACCTCAGCTACAGTGACTTGACCTCAGCTACACTTAAGTGGGCCTATTTTTTCGTGATCTTGTTTCTATATACAGGAGGGCCAGGTATATACAGGAGGGCCAGGTATATACAGGAGGGCCAGGTATATACAGGAGGGCCAGGTATATATAGGAAGGCCAGGTATATATAGAAGCGTCAGGTATATACAGCAGGGCCAGGTATATATAGAAGGGTCAGGTATATACAGGAGGGCCAGGTATATACAGGAGGGCCAGGTATATACAGGAGGGCCAGGTATATACAGGAGGGCCAGGTATATATAGGAGGGCCAGATATATACAGGAGGGCCAGGTATATACAGGAGGGCCAGGTATATACAGAAGGGCCAGGTATATATAGGAGGGCCAGGTATATACAGGAGGGCCAGGTATATACAGGAGGGCCAGGTATATACAGGAGGGCCAGGTATATACAGGAGGGCCAGGTATATATAGGAGGGCCAGGTATATATAGGAGGACCAGGTATATACAGGAGGGCCAGGTATGTACAGGAGGGTCAGGTATATACAGGAGGGCCAGGTATATATAGGAGGGCCAGGTATATACAGGAGGGCCAGGTATATACAGGAGGGCC